AAAATTGAAGTGTCTGTTTGTAATGTCATAATAACAGCTTTTTACTACACGCATATGAAAGTGTACATGGTACTTATAAGACAGTAAACAGTCTACAGTCTACAGTAAAAAACAGTCTGTCTGGCTGTTTGTTCCGGCTAATCTCCGAAACGGCTGGACCAATTTTGACGCGACCTTTACTGGTAGATAGTTGCAGAAAGAAGCAGATGTTACAAAGTGTAACTTAGACTACGTTTAATTTTAGAAATATAATTAGAACAAAATCCTCGTAGGGACGCACCCGGAGGTGGCACTAGTCTATACTAATATAATAAGGAAGTAGAGTTTGTGAGTTTGTGACGTTGTAGGGGGTAATCTCTGGGTCTACTGAACCGATTAAGATGAAATTTGGTAGACTATTACTATTTGGTATTTGGTAGACCCTGGAAAGGAAATAGGATACTTCTTATCCTGGAAATCATTCCTTAAGGGGTGAAAATAGGGATGAATGTTTGTATGGGGAATCAACTATATATAAATAGGCAAATAAACATTACAGTTCACAACCTACTGTACCTTTTTCTCCTTTATTTGTCAACCGATTTTCTTTTATTTTTTTGTTTAGAGCTATTGACTAATTTTAGTGTTACACAACATAATACGTTCTGGTTTAACTAGACCGGAAGACGTGTGTGATAGCAAAGTTTACCTCTGCTAGGAATCGATCTCGTGACCTACTTTGACGTTGACAACGCTTTTAACATGATTTCATTTTAACTCCTGTAAAAAATATATTTCATATTAAAACACACGCATTATATATACTTAACTAGCAGATTTTAATTATTACTGGCCCAGAAGTACGTTGGGATATGAGTTTAAATAACCTATTTTGTTTATTTAGAGTCCCCCAGAAGGGTCTATTTGCATTTATATCGCATGAAAATGCCTGAAAGCATATATTATATTCCAAATTCTATTAGTACGTGAAAAGCGTGATATGAATGTTAATGTTAGCAGTATATTAAAGTTTATTTAAAATTATCTATTGAAGTTTTTTGGAACTTATAACTAGATTTTGATATAAAATATAAACGTGAGGGGTGTCTAAAAATATCGGAGGTTATCAGTTCGATTCTTGGGAGCTGGATTTTATTGACCAAATAGATATTAGTCTGGCTTTGTTATGAAAATAATAGGGTTTATAAATTGAAGATCCTCCCCGAATGTGTCCTTGTCGTGGTGAGAGGCTAAGCTGAGTGAGGCTTAGAGCTTCCCACCGCGACAACGACTTGGAAGCAGCCCATTTCGGGAGACGTCGGCAGTTGCTCTTGATACTTCTCTGACAAACAGTAGACCGTTAGAGTAACTCCCTGGTCTATTGTGGTCTACCTCAGTAGGCCAGCCGTCGGGGTGTCATAATTCAGTGCGTAAGCCATCCTGCAATGTTCCATTAAGACAGAAGAGGTTCCATTGCGTTTTAGTGGGTAGTATCAGCATTTCTAGCCGGTACGTCACCCAATAATCACTTGTTGTAAGATGGTATCGGTAAATGCATTTTCTAACCCTAAATAAGATTATAAAGTAGAAAAAAAGATACTCTTGAGATCGCAGCGAAACTTTTGTTATAGATCTGTTAATAAAACTAATAACAAGTTTTAATTATTAGTTTGTTAGTTTGTTTGAGTTTCAAAGAACATTCCAGAATCTAGATCTTCTTGCAATTTAAATTACGTAGAAACAATCAAATACGGGCTATATTGCATTAAGTGCAAACTCAAACGGACTGACAGACATGAATACGATTACACAAAATTGATACGTCTTGATTGTCTCGTGGGCCACTTCTCTTGCTGGGGCATTATAAATGCAATTACTCAGAGACCTTCATTCATCCGTACATTCATGGTCGTCGGTCAGAGTTCAAACTGGTTTACATGAATAAAATTATTGTCTTGATACAGACGCTGGGTAGTGAAATATCGGACAAGTGCGAATTTAACTGACACACCGGGTTTCATAGCATGAAATTGTTTTAAGTTATGTATGTTCTAGCCTAAAGAATGTTCTAACCTAAAGAATTACACAGAGTCAGTCAGTAAGTTAAATTTTTACAATATATGTAACTCGAATGGACCGATGGACAGACAAACATAACGAAATTCCAAAATTTAGACAAAAACGGAACTCTAAAAATGATTTTCTTGATATAAAACAGGCACTTTATATTTTAAGGTCTCAATAAGATTACTAACTTTGCAATCAAATTTTGAAAATAGATTTTAATCTAATAATTGTTGTATTGAAACTGTCGGAAAATGGACGGACTTTTTAGGTCTAGATAGAAATAAAGTCCAAAAACAGATTTTTCTCTGCTGTATAATGCACTATGTACATAAAAAATCTAAGATGAATGTTGTAACTTGATTATATTGAAAACTAGCGACCCTACTACTCTCTTCGCTCTGGTGCATCTCAATTCGCTCGGTAAGCGGATCTTGTTCGCAATTTCATGGGTTTTAATTTTTTTGCACGGAACCCGAAACCTTTTTCTTAAATAAAAGTAGCTTAAGTTACTCCTTATAATATTATTAGTTATCTGCCAGTGAAAGTACCGACATAATCAATCTCGCCATTTCGGAGATTAGCCTGCACAAACAGACAAAAAAAATATTATTATAAGTATATCTTATATTTCTGTTAGTTTTGGTTTGGATCAACGTTTATAACATAACTAGCGACTCACCCTCGCTTCGCTCGGGTTCGTCCCTAGGTTGATTCCCCATACAAATTGATTTCGGGGATAAAATGTATCCTATATCCTTCCCAGAGTATCAAATTATTTTCTTATCAAATTTTATCTAAATCGGTTCAGTAGATCCAGAAATTACCTCCTACAACTTTACGTCTTTATAATATTACTATAGATAATCACATTAAAATCATAAATACGACTCTTTGTAAGTACCTACATAAGTTTGTGTGTTTGTTACTTCTCGATGCAACGCCTCAACGGTTTTAATTAAACTCAGAATGGAGCTATCTAGATTAACACAGGCGCTTTCATATCGATAGGTATACTCGTAAATGCTCGTTAGTTGATATATGAGATTTAGAATTATAATAAAAAATAACTTAGTTTAAATATGCGATATACACTATTGGTGTAATTAAAAAAATTTAGGCAATAAATATATTTTTTGAAGTAAGCGTCTTGCTTTCATTTTCAATCTATTCATATTTTTAAAATTATATCAATATTCCTTTAAATAATTATGAAGGTTCTTCAATGACAATTTATTTCTCATATCAGACATTCTAAAATCTATTTTAAATATAACTAGCGATAATATATATGTATATATATACATATGATAAAATTCTAAGTCAAATCTGTACATTAAATATTTTTTGGGAAATCTAATTGAAATAGAGAGAGAGAGAGTGAGAGTTAAGGCGGAGTACAGACGGCTTTACACGTGCTCTCCGAGGCACGGCGGTCCAACACCGCTAACTTCCTAACTCCGCGCTACTACTGAGAATATCTGACACAGAAATACTCAGTAAATAAACTTGGCCCGACCCGGGGCTCGAACCTTCCGGATCTGCAGCCGTAGATACCGCTAGCCACTATCACCGAGGCAGTTGACAGACAGACATACTTTTAGGCTTTTCTACTATTGTTTCACCTAGGATAGATCATAATTTGGATTGCAATAATAGGGAAAGCAATAATATTAAAACATCAACAAAACAAATGAAATTTTTTGATTCAAAATGGAAATCCTGAAATACCGGAATTTGTTTAAAGCTTTAAACTATTTCATATCATCGCGTGCGATGAAGGCTTTCGATTTATGAATAAGCGATTCATTGAAAGCGATATTGACATGTGACAGCTACCACGAGCGATACTGTCGATGCTCAAATAAAAGGGAAATTTTGAAACTTAATTTATGTAAATATTTATTGCTTCAAATATTTGGAAGTATTAAAAAATAGTTTTTGTCCAAAATATTGTGAGATATTTTATGATTGATATGGATGATCCAGTCCATCCGTCTGTGGTATTTTTATTAGATTGTATTGTATGTTTTATTACAATAATAAAACCTAATGGTATTCTGGACTAGTGTACGATTTTCATACAGATCTAGGTAGGTTAGAGTCTAAAACAATGACTGCTATAATTTCTGGTGTCACCAGTTGGCGCCACTGGCGCGTAAGGTCCTATACATGTCGTTAAAAAGTATTTGTTAGTACGGCAGTGTCATTTTAATATAATAATAATAATTGTTAGCGCGGCACCAGTTTATCAGGATTTTGTTTTATATTATTAATATATAATAACCAAATATGAATTAAAGTGTCTGCCATAATTAACCAGGAATCAGGAGTGGTACAATGTTTATAATAATCATGAATAATTAGTGAAGATCCGCGATGAAAAGCTCGCAAAGAGTAAACATTCAAGTTTGATTTGATATTTCTATAGACCTCACTCTACACTAGCGCCCTCGCGGCGAATTCAAACGCTGTAACTCATTACGACAATTTTACGAATTTTTCCTACCTGTATTATAATATTCAAGAATTAAATTTGATAATATCGTCACTTCTGAGAGATTTCATAATATTATAAATGCAAAAGGCGTAGCACGCTAGTAATTGTACCTGGGCGATGGAGCTTCACTCGATGTCTACACCGTTCAGTAGGTTAGCATCCATTGACGACAATGCAAGTACCACAATACAACATTATTATCATGAGAGTAGATAGAAAAAGGATTTTATAATAAGTTATGAATAAATGTTTTGTTTTGTACAAAATTGCACTTTTTCAGAAAATCACTTATTAGATAAACTTCAAAAATAATCTTATCTAAATACCTGATTCAAATCATTAGAACCATTCCCATTCAATTCAGATACGAAATAAATTGTACAAGAATTGCTCATTTAATATTATAAGACAATATTTTTTGCAGGTTTATTTCATATCACGGTATCGAGGACTATGCATGGGGACACTCGTGTCCCGAACGGCGGTTATCACGGCTTGCGTGTGCGTGGCCAACCCTGAAGCGGACACTCACGATACTAGATCTATAAACGTTGTCACGGGTGCCATGTACCGACATCCTCGACGCGGGATACGGGTGCAAGTCACTAAAATTATTTTACCTAAGTGTAAGTGTTTTTGAGTTTTTGAACTTATACTTCTTTTAGGACGTTTGGACAAAAATATGAGAGTAAAATTTATGATGCGCGCGTACACTGACAGCCCAAAAGCGACATGATGAATTTAGCTGAAAAAGAACACGATAAAGTTAGCTCCATTCCTCTTACAAACAGAGAGTTATGACATACGAGATGTAATCTTTAGCTATTTTTGTTCTGTTACGCCGAAGAAGTATAACTTCTTACATGCGTACATAAGTACACGCACACGTTTTTTAACGAGTGGTCGAAATTTTACCATAATTCATTGTTGAAAATATGAGGAAAACATGTATGAATCGGATTTTCCTATCTATATATAAAAAACCTGTTAGTAATCGAACCTTAATCCATTTAAACAGATTATATCTAACATATAAATTCTCGTGTCGCGGTGTTTGTGGCCGCACTCCTCCGAAACGGCTCGACCGATTTTGAGGTTTTTTTGTGTTTATTTGGTAGGTATGAGAATAGGTCGTAAAGTATTTTTCAACCTCCTATCCTGGAAAAGTATACGGTTCCTGAAAGATAGATTTGTTTTCGTTTTTCATAGTAGTATAACATAAAGCAAAAGATATTTTTTTGTAGACTGAACGCGTGCAAGGTGCGGATTTTGCTAGTATAGATATATATATATAAACAGATATCATTTCATGATGGAAATTCTCTTAATATTCTGGAAGTGTTATACTCTAGCGTCGCTTTAAGACATATGCACCGATAAGACAATTTAATCAGACCCTTGTATGGGTACAATAGGCCTCTAGGAACAGTATTAACCTTATCTATTCACAGCCGATACGATACGTATCTGTAACACAAAGCTCTATATATAGCTTATGGCATCAACCATCACTCCTTCCATTCATTTATTAAATTAATAACATGTACTGTATCTTAAAATGATTATTTTATATACAAGGTATAAAGGCTTTAAAATAATTTGTAATGTAAATATTCTGCCAAAAGATAGGTGTCCCAGTAAGATCAGTCCAGTCAAATTCCAAATTCAGTTGCGTTTGGTTCCTATTATTACACAAATATCTACCAACTAGCGACTCACCCTCGCTTTTCTTCGGGTTCGTCCCGAGAGAAAATCCAATCTATCCCACGGGAACCGTACATTTTTCCGGGATTAAAAGTAAACTATTACATTCCAGACTATAATCTATCTCTGTGTCCATCCACATCCGTTGAGCTGTTCTGACGTGAAAGAGTAACAAACATCCACCCATCCAGCTTTCATCACAAACTTTCACATTTATAATATTAGTATAGATGTATACGTTTCAGAAGTTAACTGTTTTATAAAATAATTTGAAAGTTAAATGTTCGATTCTTGTTACGTGTTATGGTTAAATGGCTCCAGTTATACAGAAGTGAGACGACGAGCTCTTTAATAGATAGCCTTATGCCACAAATAGAATAATGCTAAGAAAAAAATAACGTCATGTCTGCGCGTCTTATAATATTAAGCACATTAGGCTCTGACCACACTCGCGTAGTCCTGTGAGATGGCAATCTGATACGATCTGGTAGGATTGATGGTCTGAAGAAATGGGCCATAGCAGTCCAAAATGCTTCTATTGACTATTACTTTACAGTAAAATACAATAACTCATTGGACCTAAGTTATAACTCGAACCCAGAACCTCAACTACAAGGAACAACAACAAAGGAACAACTACACCAACGAGAAAATCTGACTTTTAACCTTTTGTATAACAAAATAAAAGCAAAGATCTTTTTCGCTACGCCAACTTTACAGGAAATTAGTTAAGTTAGCGAGTAATTAACTTCTAACATAGAGCTATTTTAAATGCTATTCTTCTTACAAAGGCAGCTAAAGCTCATTTCAAAATATGTATAACAAGAGCGCTACTAACTTTAAATACTTTTATTTCATTTTTTTTAAACATAAGTGACCAACAACCATTTTTCTTAGTTCAACCATTATTATTTGCATGTCAAGTTAGTCTGTAATCTATACATACAATAAAATTGTAACTAAGCCGAATCGGTGCATTAAATATTTTTTAGGAAAATCTAATTGAAATAGACATTATTATCGATACAGAGGACGAATCTATAGTTTTTAGAATTTTTGTCTGTCTGTCTGGTACTGCATCACAGAAAAACCATTGGAGTGATTTTGATGAAATTTGGTATGATAATAGCTGGTTATCAGAGTCAACATATAGAATACTTTTATCGCGGGAAAATATCTCATTTCTGAGAAAAAAATACAAAAACTGCATTGTAAGAGTATACTAATATGTAAAACCTAAGAATTTGGATTTTGGTCATCTGAACACGGGCGGAAATTACTCGTAATTCATTCCTTTGACAGGATGAAAAGGACTTTGTCACTTTGTCTTGTTTTCGGTCCGCTCCTGAAAGCCATGTACTCTGTTAAACTTTGTTTACTTAGTTACGACATAAATGCATTAAGAATCGGTCAAGTGCGAGTCGAATTCGCACACGAATGGTTCCGTACCATCGTACAAGTACTTTTTATTAATATGACTTTTACTCTATGTATGTAGTATATTAACTTCGATGATCGATTACGTACGCTAAGAAAATGTTTCTTGTAATTTTATTTTAATTTAGTATTTGTTGTTATAGCAGCAAAAGAAATACATACACTGTAAAAATTTCAACTCTCTACCTATTACGATTCAATAGATACAGCCCTCTGAGAGACGGACGGACAGACGGACAGACAGCGCAGGCTTAGTAATATGGTTCCGTTGGCACAGTTCGGGTACGGAACCCTAAAAAACTGAAAATTATTAGATTATTAATATTTTAAAACCTCAGCAGCTTCAAAAAGTTAGCTCACAGTTATAACATTAGTAAAAGTTAGTTTATCTACAGAATTTTCAGATATTAAACGCCGTTATCTTTCAACAATAACTTCACCAAAGTAAATTCAAATCAAACATCATATTCTCAGACTTTATGCACCTAGTTGTTTGTCTAACGATCTTCTAACTTGTTCAAATTCACGAACAACTCATTATGAAGTGCGGCGGTCGTGCTTTGTTCTCAGTTTTCTAGTTTCTACGATAGCGATCTAATTTTAATTCTTTTCATGAAATAATATTTTGCTCATGCTTATTCCAAAATTCTATTTTAATCTAAACATACTCGTAAAATAAAATTCTTAGTCGAATCTGTACATTAAATATTTTTTTGGATAACCTTATTAAAATAGTTATTATTATCGATACAGAGGCCGAATCTATAGATTTTATAATTTTTATCTGTCTCTCTGTCTGTCTTGGAGCGCATCACGAGAAAACCACTGGACAGATTGTAATGAAATTTGGTATGATGATAGTTGGAAATAATATAAAAAAATAACAATTTTACATCTCTATATACTACGAAAATATCAAAAGCAAATAACACATCTGAAAAGTTACAAGGACCTAGAAACAAGTTTCTAATAACGTAAGAGAAAATGTAACATTGCCACAGACGTACATATGTGTATTGTACAGTAAGAACCTTCGTATAGATCAAGTAATTATTATAATCAACTATCTGAAGCCGACGGGACTGTATTATCGATACAATGCCGTACCTAATAGGTAAATTATTAGAACATTAGGAACAATTTGTAGCTCGGAAACAATGAATATTATCTCTTCAATAATGATCATTATAATTAACTATATATATATAAGCATATAATGTGTATACATGGGCGGGCGCCAAGGAGGGGGATGCAAGGGGGTGCACTTGCACCCCCCTGTCATAAAGGAAAATATATAGAAAAAGTTAAAGAAATAAAATTATATGAGTAAAATCCCTGTTTAAATTTAGATATCTTCAAAGAAAAAACTATAAATAAGACGTGAACAAAAAATTATAAAGTTAATCATTTAAAGATTATTTAGTAGTTTAATGTGAAGAAGCAGATATACTGAGTTTCTTCCGCAAGTTCTTCTCAGGTTTGAGGCTTCTTCTTTCCGAACTGGTAGTAGACTCATGACGTTCAGTAAACAAATTGTAATAATTTAATGCTGAATAAAATATTTTGAATTTTGAATTTTGAATACACCCCTGGAATTAATTCTACCACCGCCCATGTGAATAGCCATCCCAACCCCATATCTTGATTAAGAAATATATATGACCCGAAGTCGTAGACCTAGGATTTTGTAAGTATACCTTCAAAACTTACGAGTATGTATTACACATTTGTCTTTTGTTTCCAACTACCTATTTATGACTTCTTCGCTAGATTGTATGCTACTTAATGCTACGATAACAAGTTTTGCGAGAGTTTTATGCCAATGGCACCATTAAAAATTGAATGAAATTTAGAAAAGTATGTGTATATATATAATTGGCTATATATGACTCTTCATAATTACTAGCATTAGCCCGTTGTTCTTGCATAGTTGATTTCCTTGCCTGCTGCCTTGATTTGCCTTTAATGTCTTCCTCAGTAAATAGGCTATAAAAGGCCAATAGAATTGTTCCAAATTTTCTTCTTACCGATGTCGGCCACGGCAGTCAATCTCACTGAGACTAGCCAGATGCGCAGGAGATATTTTAGTGTACAAATGTACGTGCAGACACACGTGCACTCTCTATTTCTTTTACTCTCATAGTCCGATGGGACGATACATCTACACGACCGGTAAGAGTTTAGGCGTAGAACCGACGGCTTTACGTGCTCTCCGTGGCATGGGGGTATAACACCTACTTACCAACTCTAAGCTGTTACTGAGAAACTATACATATAATTAAATTGTATCTAAGCCGAATCTGTACATGAAATATTTTTTGGAAAATCTTATTGAATTAGTCATTATTATCTATATAGAGATCGAAACTATAGTTTTAAAATTTTTTGTCTGTCTGTCTGTGATCGCATCACGGAAAAACCACTGGAGGGATTTTCATAAAATTTGGTATGATGATAGCTGGTTATTTAGGTCAACATATAGGATATTTTTTACTGTGGGATAATATCTCATCTGAGAAATCTATACTAAACGTTAAAACGCAAGTAGGGACGAACCTGAGCGGAGCGATGGGGAGTCGCTAGTACTATATAAACTATTGACCAATTCCGTTATCCACAGTGCCTAATGTCACCGCTGAAAGAGCCTACATAATCCAAAAGTCTCCGGCTATAATGCTCCTTGCAAAGAATGTGCCTGACGTTTTAGCGGAGGTGCCTCTCCGACCAATCACTGTGGACTTTAAAGGAGATGAGGTTTTGGCTTTACACGAAGAGTGTATAATGCCTGGCTGGCATTTCTTTTATAAAGGGGTAAGTTTTTATTTTTATGATGACTCTACTGTAAATACAGACCTCAGTAAATAGGTAATTTAGACCCTACTGTAGGTAAAGAGACTGGATCAGGATTCAGGACCAGATCTTGTTTTAGAAAGTAAACTCCGCAACTAGTTTGAACCGATCTCCTCAAATATCAGCAGATACATCTGTCAAATCGCAAAACTGACACAGAATAAATAATGGCTTTAAATCACTGCTTAGTGTGTTTTTAAAGTGTCCACACAAAATAAATTACAAAATAAATTAACTAGAACTGTGATATTTTTTTCAAAGGAACTAAGCAAATAGTAAAAAGTAAAAAATATAAAAAAAAATTCAAAGGACTCAAGCAAATAGTAAAAAAAAACAAAAACAAACTTTGCTAGTTATGAAATCGATTCCTAGGAAAATCAATCACACGTTCAAGGTAACCAATCTAGAAAATGATCAAATCGAGGCAGTGTTACTAGTATGTACATTTTGAAAATAACATAGTGTGTAGTTCCCGCAGTTACATTACATACGGATAGTAAAAAATATAATCTATATATAAATAGCCAAAAACAAAACAGTTAAGTATCTTTTTCCCCTTTGTTTGTCAACAGTTTTTCTTTCTCTATTAGCAACTTGCAACACCCGCGCGGCTTTGCACGCATTCAAACTTCTGATCGCTAAAATTTCATTAAAATCGCTCCGGCCGTTTTGGAGTCCATAGAGTACATACATACACTCGGCGAATATCTATACATATAATAAAATTCTAACAGAATTGAATCTGAAATAGTAATTATTAGATACAGATACGATACAGTTGCCGAATCTATAGTTTATAGAATTTTTGTCTGTCTGGGAACACATCAGGAGAAAATTACTGTACAGATTTCGATATAGGATGATAGTCGATTATTCGGGTCAACATATAAGACACTTTTTACTGCGAGAATATATCTCATCTCTGAGAAATATATACCAACTTTTAAAACGTATCTAGGGACGAAACCGACCTGAGCGAGGGTGAGTCGCTAGTTGGTTATAAATTATTCCTTTCACTTTTGAATAAGATACCAGTACTTCTGTCTTCAAATGCTTTAAATCTAAAAACAGTAATTAAACTTTTCTATCTTTATCGTTCGAACTTTTTTAAATATGCCTTTGAACGGTAGGGGTAACGAATAGGGGTGGTTTTAAAGGGATGGGGCCACCTCCTCACTCACTTTATAACCATCTCGATTTAATATAGATGGCACTGATCGTTTTTAAAAGGCGCTATCGAAATGTTAAGTGTTTAAATGGAAGTGAAATCACATAATTTCAATGAGTTCTCAATTCTATTGCTGATGAAATAGTTTTAAAAAGAGGTTAACAATAATTTACTTGCGTCGTAATTTACTTTTAAAAATTTATAATAAACGTTTTTTAGCCAGCGTCATCTATACATATAATAAAATTGTAACTAAGCCGAATCTGTACATTAGATATTTTTTGGAAAATCTTATTGAAATAGACATTATTATCGATACAGAGGCCGAATCTATAGTTTTTAGAATTTCTGTCAGTCTTTCTATCTGTCTGTCTGTCTGTTACCGCATCACGAGAAACCCACTGGACAGATTTTGATGAAATTTGGTATGATGATAGCTGGTTATCCTGGCCAACATATAGGATACTTTTTACCGCGGGAAAATATCTCATTTCTGAGAAAAAATGCATTGTAAGAGTATACTAATATGTAAAATCTAAGAATTTAGTTTTTGGTTATCTGAACGTGGGCGGAGCCGCGGGCAATGCTAGTGACCCATATAATACGCATAAAATTGGTATGATGTCATAATTGCATATTAAGTAAATTTCTAAAAAAACGTGTTTGTACTCTTCCTTCTTCGCTCTTTAGAAACAAAGAATTGTAAATCTAGATAACGAAGAAATAAGATGCTAAATGTTATAATACTAATGCAGTGGAGGGTGGTGTTGAGAGGGTGAGAACACCCTTCCAGCAGCTTTCAGTCTATCCCATGAGGTCATAGATGGCGTTGATTGATTTTAAAACGCGCTATCGAAATGTTCTGATGAAAAGCTAAATACTGCTAACAAAATTGCTTTGGTTAGTATTCCCTATCTATCTTTGAATTTTTGGAGACGGAAAGTCCTTATGTAGGTACTAACCGTCTAATATGCGAAGTCGTTTTAGGGTTAAAATATTATTTTGAATAATAACGGATCCTTTTTCTTTTCAATAATTTTAAATCCTACCAAAACGTACGTTCAATACAATTTTTATAACTTTGCGTGGAGTTTCAATCTGCTTTTTCTCTTCAAAACACCAAACTATGTTTATTATTTACTACTAAAATGTTAAACAACAGATCATAAATAAGCATACTATAATACTCTCTGTTGTCTCTAGATCAAATGTCTGAAGATTTTTTAACGAGCATATTACTGACGTGACCAAATCTAGAAAATCTGAGTAAAATTTTCCATACCCTCATGCTTTTAAGCGGAAGCTCAGTCCGGTTTGCTATTGTGTGCGTTTAACGAGACAAGTTGTCATATCATCCTTTGTGAAACTTATCCATTCACGCGACAGTAGATAGTTTTCACTGCAACAAGATTTTGTATATAATAGAATATTGTTTAATACATTATACAAAAATCAAATTTTAGTTGAATAAATATAATATTTGTTAAATAAAATTCTTTATCGAATATTGGTATTTCAGAAATATACTTAGGTATTCTTTAACAAATCTCTATCTGTTCGAAAAAATACCTTATTCCTAAGAAGAATTGATGACTACCAACTTACAATGATCCTATTAATTTCTCGTACATACGAGTACTTAATGCAAGAAATAGCAGAAATCCTTATCCACATTTATCGGCTATAGCTAGCGAATGTATAGTTTTTAGAATTTTTGTCTGTCTGTCTGTCTGTATATGATCGCATCACGGAAAACCACTGGAGTTATTTTGATAAAATTTTACATATAGGATACTTTTTACTGCGGGAAAATATCTCACCTCTGAGAAATCAAGACTAAACATAAGTCGGGACGAACTCGAGCGGAGCGAGTGTGAGTCGCTAGTATTACTATAAAATTAAAGTTATGTACCTATATCTATAACTCAATAATCATGTAATATAATTTTCGCTTTTAGGATAAGATATATCCGGTCCAAAAATTCCTGCTGCAGAGAAACATTCGCGTTCAGTACTTAGTCATCGCTAAGAAGAATCTATGGTGTAACACCATCACCTTAAAGTTTCAACAAGCCATGACCAATCTTGGGTTCGATGGCCTCTTCGACAAAACCTCCTCTATATGTGTTAAAGATGTAAGTTCTGAGAGACTACCTGTTGGTTATATAGAAGAAGGAAGAATTTTTGGGTATTTTAAAAGCTTTATTGGGCTTTTGGGCTTTAACGGGTATAAAGTAGAAAATGAAGAAAAGAAAATTTCAACTGTCATATAGTGTTTATGCCATTGAACATAAACTTATCATTATTAAAAATAGTTATTTTAAACTATTACAACATTTAACTTCCACAGGCTCACATAATGTAATAACATATTATCATTAATTATAATTGAAAATAGATACTTTTTACTATTTTCCCTAAAGTAGTTTCAGTTTTAATAAAAAAAAAAACTTTATTTTCAGCCTGAAAAAGCAGCGCAGCCTTGCCATGTAAGTCTTTGTGGCATTATATCTTATACTATGATTGTGTACTAATACTTAATATGGTTGTAGTACGGGATAGTGAGGTATCTCATTATGTTGATATTTTTCTTTTTAAGCATTCTAGCATGTTTCTATTGTGATTAAAAATATTAAATCTATCCTATTTCTTTCAATCTTAATTATATTTTGATTGCAATTAATAGTTATTTCTTAGTGCCTAACACAATAATATTATATTAATGCCTTAGGCACTGAGATATCCACAAAAACAAACATTTCCCATAGTAAATATGTTGGGACATTAAGACACAGCACCGTTTAGTTCCATGGTAAGCTACGAGGCTTGAGTTATGGATACCAGATAGTTGATACACTACACATATATAACTTTAAATACATACATATTATGAATATAAACACCCATAACTGGAATACAAACATTCGTGCTCATCATACAAATGAATCCCCAGCGGGACTCGAACCCGCGACCACTGGCACAGTAAGATCACTACAAACTGAAAGACATAGTGAAAAATAACAAACAAAACATAATGAAAATATAATTAAGAAAATTTTATGCTATAATGATTTGCACCATATAGTCGGATATGGATAATAGCTAAGCAAAAAAAAATGCTCAAAACCACATATTTCAGGGAATGTATGGAGCCCCGCTTATATGCCGTGGTAAGGCTGTGGCAATGTTTATGGCACCCGATGCTCAATGGACGAACTGTACCGGTTTCACTGCCCTCGTCCACTTATTCAGCGCTGCGCATATACGAAACTTTATGACATGTATTAGCGGGTAAGTTTGCATTTCATTGGACTAGTATTAAAATAATACTTTTTAATCTATTTTCCCGTCAACTAAGAGACCACACAATGCTGACTGGATAAACGGTGTAGAACTCTAGCTACAGAAAATTGGCCATCACATCAGACTTAAGCAAGTTTTACGTGCACTAGGTAAGCCACAAACATCTCTAAGCTGCAAACATTAAAAACCTATGGGACTCGTCGATTACAAAAGCCAGTACTACTAACTAAAACCCTATGGAATCTCCTCCGTCTTTATGGGCCCTCGCAGGATCGCTTACGGCTTACGCACTCGACTACGATTTCTCCAACGATTTCTCCAACGGTCTACTCAGCTATCAGAAAAGTAACAGGAACAAGCCCATGGTACACCGCAGACCGAGGTGGGCCGTCTCCCAAATCCAATGCGTTTTTTGGCTTCACACCTGACTGGACTGCGTGAAACTAGAGCCCAATACATCAAGGTGAACATATCGGAGGAGGAAATTGGGTTGCCTCAACAGTCTACTCAAGATAATGAATACTTAACCTAACCTAATCTTAACAACTTCTGTAAATAATTTTAATTACATTTTCAAATATACTTGAAGTATACTATATAGTATAAAACATCATAAAACTCTTTAAACCTTTCAAATTCATAAAAAACAACTAACGAACACAACGACAAAGCATCTGCGGTGCTTAAAGCAAACGCATTCTTTTATTTAAAAAAAAGACAAATTATAATCTATACATATCTATCTATATAAATAATAAAATTCTAAGTTGAATCTGTACACTAAATATTTTTGGGAAAATCGTATTGAAATAGTCATTATTATTGATACGGAGGCCCAATCTCTATACTTTTTAGAATTTTTGTCTGTCTGTCTGAGACCGCATCACGAGAAAACCATTGGAGAGATTTTGATGAAATTTAGTATGATGATAGCTGGTTATCCGGGTCAACAAATAAGATACTTTTACTGCGGGAAAATATCTCATCTTGAGATGTCTATACTAACCTTTTAATACTTTAAGCGTAACGTAACTTAGGGGCGAACCCGAGCGGAGCGAGGTTGAGTCGCTTGTTTAAACATAAAGTTGTAAGTATATTTAACATTAATTTTAAATATGCAGGATATGTATAAAAATAATTCGAGCTAACCTGAAGCCTTTTTGCTTGAGAGAATCTATGAAAGCAGAAAAAATAACTATTTTATCCAAGTAACAATTACCTTGACACAATGTAGCACGTGCCAGAAGAAGCAGGTTCGATTTTAGCTATTCGTTAATGTTTTAGATAAAAAAAATTGCGACACCACGTGTCTAAACAAATATTGAAACTGTCCATACAAGTTGTTCATTTTTGTCACGTTCTTGGTATAAGTCCGTATGCGTCCGTGTTTTTCCGATACAAGTCAAATCTAGTTAAAATTAAGTTTTAGTTAATTTTCAGTATAGAATATTATTTAAACATATACCTAATATTGTTCGACAAAATCGTTTCCAATAGCTAGCGCTAGTTCAATATATTCTTAGAATAATTTGAATAAAAAAGAATAATACACATGGCTACCATGTGCATCTCCCCCACGACACTCATAAACAAAGAAATACCATTCAGATGCCGTTTTTTGCAAGCATTCAAATATAAATTAGAGACGTCCGTCTGTATGCAACTTCCTTGCAACTTAAATTATATAATTTGGCAAAATAAATGGCATAAGTACAAACTTGAATGAGATTACCAAAAAAGTTTACTTTTTTTTGACAATAAAAACTGTTCCACTTTTTTTCATAGGTAGGTAAAGTAATATATTTTAGTAAAATTATATCAAAATGCAAAAGTTAGGCACTTAAAGAACGTTCAAATTATTATCTATACTAATATTATAAAACGACAAAGTTTGTTTGTTTATTTGAACGCTAAGGAACTACTAAAACGATTTGAAAAATTCTTTTTGCATTAGATAGCCCGTTTATCGAGGAAGACTATAGGCTATATATCGTATAATATAGGTATAACCGTTGAAAAGTTTCTAGGGAGAACCCGAGCAACGCGAGAGTGAGTCGCTAGTTTTAAATATGTGTAATGCGGCCAACATAATATGTATAAATATGTATATATAAAATACCAGCGACTCACCCTCGCTTTGCTCGGGTTCGTCCATAGCTTGCTTCCCCATACAAACTATCATCCCCATTTTCACCCCCCTAAGGGATAATTATCGGGATAAAAAGTATCCTATTTCCTTCCCAGGGTCTCAAACTATCTTCTTACCAAATTTCATCTAAATCAGTTTAGTAGATCTAGAGAATACCCCCTACAACGTCACAAACTCACAACTCACAAACTTTACCTCTTTATAATATTAGTGTAGATATTTATTTTAAGTGTAAGAAAGGACTATTCTCGATGCTATTTACATTCTAATGTTATGAATACTGTTGACTTCCTCGAACTTAGATCGAGGTATGCAGAATAGGAAGATTCCAGATTTTTTGTTATAATTTAAAAAAATGTTACTGGTCTTCCATATTATGTTATACTTTGTAACCGCCCAGGTCGGTAGTCCTTATACCTCCGTGCCTCAGAGTCGGGCCTGCGCTTGTCTCCAACGAATCGTATAATACCACCGCAATATAAGAGTTGAAAGTTGAGAATATGAGTGGTGAGAATGAGAGTGAAAGGATTCCTTTCAAAGGAAGAGAGTGCACTTGTTTGTGCGCAGGCGCACTGTACTTGCGATTTCTCCGCCGTTACTGAAATTGGTTATAACATTATTTAATTCATACTATAACTACCTCGTATATAATATTATTTATACGAATAATTTTAATACAAATGAGTACTTAACAGACACGATGTGTGTATAAATTATAAAAAAGGCCCTTAATAACCAGTTTAGACGATTAATGTGGATAGAACTATTCAAGAAAGAGAGTTATGATTTTCGAGGTTCGTATATTTTGTTTTTTTATTAAATTAGAATTTATTAGATAGCATTAAATTTTCAATGAAGAAATAACAAAGGATATATAAAATTCATTCGTAAAAGTACGTACAAACTTTCGAATCGATTACCTAAAACCGTTCTCTAGTATTTTGGTGCGATGGACATTCACACAGGACCAGACTGACACCCCAGTATACCTTATTTAAAAGGAGTAAAGTGCCTTTATATGCTGTCTCGCGAATAGTATTAAATATTTGTTCTTAGCTCAAATATTCACGCGCGATTTGATTTTGATAACATTTCTCACACAAAAACAATTTAAAAATACACAATACCAAATTTCGACTTTAAATAATATTATACTTATGTTTTGAGGCTTGGCATAGATTTCTTAAAAATGAGATTTTTACCCGCAGTAAAAAGTATCCTATAGACCCGGTGTCCAGCTCATCATACCAAATTTCATCAAAATCTGTCCAGTGGTTTTATCGTGATGCTGTCACAGACAGACATAAATTCTAAAAACTATAGATTCGGTCTCTGTATCGATAATAATATCTATTCCAATAAGATTTTCCAAAAAAATATTTAACATACAGATACGGGTGTTACAATTTTATTATATGTATAGATGAGAACAATGTATTAACTGATACAGAAGTATTAGCACCTAGGGATGCGCCCGTGCGAAGCGGGGGCAAGTCGCTAGTGTATTAATAAATTAAATTTTCAGCTTATTCGAACCAGAATTTCATGTAAACTGGGAAGCGTTTATAAAAAATATAGACAACCACCACGACGGACAATATGACTACCTGCCAGACTTGTACGACAGGATGTTGTATCAAGAATCTGATAGTTCTGAAGAGGTTGCTTAGCGTTTGAATAAAATTACATAGATAACATATGATTTTTTTTATTTTTCCTCAAAATGTCCACATTTTTCGCAGGCATTTATTATTTTATTGTCTTTGTACGTCGGTTTCTAAAGTTCAAACTGTTAATTAATATTTTAAGTTTAAGAAATTTTTGTAATATTTATCATAAAATATAGTACTTTATTATGTACCTACCACAGTTTTCTATTCTGTTAGTAAGTTCATTGTGTATTGGAAATTCATGGTTCGATTTTCAAGATGATAATTATAGATAAGTAGATAGCTATAAATTTTAACAATGAATACAAAAACCTAACCTAAAATGGAACAGTTTACTACGAAAAACTACCTCGAGGCTGAGCGAAATTGAGGCAAAACATCTAATATATAAATATCTCGTGTCACAGTGTTTGTGGTCGCACTCCACTGAAACGATTCACATATACACCAATTCATAACGTTGTGAAAATATCAAATGAGTGCTTTATGGTATAGGCTGGTATCTATTTAGTTGTTAATATGCACGTGTATTGAAAACTATAGAAATAAAAACAAAAAAAAACGACTTCAAAAAAAGCGCTAAAAAGTAAAAAATAACTGATTGGTAGTTTTCATTTACTAGATATCTAATCAGATATTTTCGAAGTCCGTGTGCTTCGATTTGTATCGGCTGGCACCGACTTCGAAAAAATTTACCACTGTTTATAGACGAAGATTACGAATGACACATAATATACTTAAACTTAACCAAAAACAGGTTATTGTTGTGACAAATTTTTTTTACAAAAATCCGCTAACTTTAAAGTGGAAATTTAACTATAGACTAAAAGTATTTTTCTTTTAAGGCATTAGTGCTAAGAGTTGAGAGTACTTAGCTACTTAAGAGGCACGCAACTAACTATTGTATGAGAAACTTTGCTGTTGCAACGATGTGCTTTCGTGTAAGCCTGAAAGTGGCAGAATAGCTTATACTTTAGAAGCTCCAAAACTTATAAGTTACTATGAGGTATTAAACATGCTTACGTGTAGTATTTAATGTATGAGACAAAGTCCTTTCATCTGTAAGATAGATAATAGAAAATACATAAGAAAATATTATGTTCTAGTTAAAAAAAACCGTTAGCAAGTGTTTGAGATTATCAATAAATTAATGTATTTAAAATATTCGTGACTCAAGTCTTTAGAATTCCTTTATAAAAATGGTACCATCCGTTTAAACCGTATGAGGGGTTTATATCTATACTAATATTATAAAGAGGCAAGATTTTTTTGTTTGTTTGTTAATACCGAATAAGCTCCGAAACTACTGACAAAAATTTAGATGAAATTTGGTTAGAAGATAGTTTGAAAGAAAGTATGATAGTTTTTATCCCGGTAATCATCCCTTAAGAGGGTGAAAATGGGAATGAAAGTTATCGGGACGCAAAGTAAGGACGAGGGAGGGTGAGTCGCTAGTGTGTTATAAGAGGATACGATGAGAAAAAACAGCCACACTATTTGCTTTATAAGAATTTTAAAACGATTAAATTTTATATATTAGTTCAGTAATGTTATTAATTAAATCTGGAGGTAAAATTGTTTTAGTTGATTAAGTCGAGGAACAAAATGTATGTTACTACATAAGATTTACTAATCTTTCACCCACTAAAATCTATACTAATATTGTAGTAAGTAGTAGTAAGTGGTAGAGTTTGTTTGTTTGGACGCGCTTATCTCAGGAACTACTAATCCGATTTGCAAATACTTTTTGAATTAGATAGCCCGTTTATTGAGGAAGGCTATAGGTTATATATCATCCAGCTACTACCCAAGGGAGCGGAGCAGTAATCATAAATATCAACAAATCGGGCAAACTTCCATGCATTATTGTAAAACTGATGTTTATAATCAAACATATTTAACGCAAGTGAAACCGTGAGGCCCAGCTAGTCTGTTATGCAAGCAGTTAAAAAGACAACCAATAAAACAAAAATTTCCATTAATACCCATCATTTCGTTCATTTTATTTATTTCCATTTATATTTTAAATGCACAAATAAACATACATCACATAGATCTATTGTTACATATAACATCTAAAATGATATCTGAACTACTTACAGATACAAGTATACTATTAACACTAAAATAACTTAAAAGAAGATTTATCGAAACGTAAAAACTATTTATTTATTTAATACTTAGATTGATGGGAATATTTGACATTTTAAATAAAACTATTTTTTCGAATTTTTTCGCGGATTTATTTTGATTTTTGGTTCCCGACGTTTCGAATATCCGCGACGTAATCCGAAAAGATAGTTTAATTTATTTATTTTTTTTATTTTTTATACAGATAATATATATTATATTATTTAGTTAAATAACTTTTTTTTAATTTTTACAATTTTACGTCATTTCTAAACGATTTTCCAAATAATACTTGTGTTAACAATATATTTATATCTTAGATAACAATTATTTTTATAATTAACTTATTCATATGTTTCTATGTCGGCACATCTTATTTTTGCGTGAATATTTTGACAATTCAATTCATATTTGCGTGGTTGATACCAATCTATACTAATATTATAAAAAGGAAAGATTTGTGTTAGTTTGGTTGTACCGAGTAGGATCCGAAACTACCGAACCGATTTAAATGAAATTTGATAAGATAGTTCGAGACCCTGGGAAGGACATACGTTTTATCCCCAAAATCATCCCACCAGTAAAGAAAGTTTTTAGAAGAGTGAGACATGTTGACCTTACAATAGATAAGTGATTAGCCGAATATGAGATAACTTGTAGTATATAAAAACTAGCCAAATCAAATCTTGAACTTCAATGTATCCTAAGTTATGTACTCTATGTAAATAATTCGAATGTTCAAATTTAATAAGTTCTATTATTAAATAGCAAGCACTTTTGTAACAGAAAAAACAAGAATTTTTGAATTTATTTTAGAATGTTGTATGTTCTTATGAAAAAAATACAGGATTATCTACAGAACTTGGCACCCATTTAGATCTCAATTCTTTTGTTAGTGAAGTTGACAACCACGCTTATTCTTAATATTGAACTTGGCTCCCATTTTCACATTTATGTTTTTGATGGGATATCATGACGTTATAATATAAAGAAACTATTATTATTCATAATTCCAAAGTGACATGTAAATTCAATCTTTTTTTTTATAATTTAGCGACTATTCATTAGTGGATAAGGTGGAATAGGAAAATGTTATTTAAGCATCATGGAATCTTTTCTTCTGAGAAAGAAAAATTGTTTGCTATTACTATTATATTTCAAAAGGCACTAGGTGTTAAGCTATTGCTATTGTTTTGGAAGGCGCAAGGTGTTAATAATATTTTTTTAATTTTAAATATTTACTGTTTTCGGATTAACCCCTTGTATGCACAAGATTACTATCTGGACGCCAAATTTCAACTTTCTAGGTCATCTGGGAGTGGGTTAACTTTTACTACTATAAGTCAGTCAGTGATAAAAATGCCGATTTTTAGACGTTAATATCTTAATGAAAGTTTGAGCTGTATTTATGAAATTTGGGGTTCCAGTTAATCTAAGGAAATTTATTAACTGAACCAAATTTTATGAGTATATTATAAATAGATTTTGAGTTATTAATGGGTGAAAAGTGGTTCCAAATGGTTCGTGTAAAATATACACACGGTACTGCGTCACCAGTTCCTTTGACTTGAACTTGGCTGGACACGCTACCGCGTGTCTTGATTCCAAGATAAAACTTCCACAACAAAAACACTATTTTAGCTCTGAAAAGTCGATCAATTTGTTTGACTGTAAAATTAAATATTTAGTTGCTTTAAAAACAATAAATAGATAGTCGATTAAGTCGGCAAAAGCAAAGTGACGTCATAGGTTTTTAATGCCACTGGCCCACCTTGGTGGGTGGTGTACCATGTGGGAAGCTCCTGGTTTCTCTCTGACTGCTGAGTGGAATGTTGGAGCAACTCCATGGTTGTTGTGATCCGCTTCGGCAGACCTGCCGACGGTAGTTGAGTGCATAAGTGACTGAAGCCTACGAGGCCCCATAACGGCGGAGGAGGTTCTGTTGGATTTAGTGGGTATTACTGATTTTTCTGGCCGATGAGTCCCACATAACCATCTGTATGTCTAGAGGTACTATTGATATTGCTATACAAATATTACAGAGGGGGTGGGGGGTGGTATTACCGCGTTTAACAGCTCATAATTTTTAATCTTAAAACTGATTGTTGGTGTCAACTACACAATTGACTTATCAGTTTATCCACAGTCGTCATTAAATATAGAAAACATTTAGGAACGCTACGAAGGAAGCAGAAATGTATAAAAGATTATAATTTAAAGCCCAATTTACGTTACGAATTTAGTTACGTAGAAATATTTCGATAATCTGGTACACTCAACTGATTTGAAAAATTCTTTTTGCATTTCATAGCTTATTTATTGATTAATGTAGCCAGTATCACGCTATTTCAAATAAAAACATGGGTGAAACCGCGAGTAATGCTAGTTTCATTTTAAATAGGTACGTAGCACATAGTCTGTATATCAAAAACTGGCGACAGAATAGACGATTAAGTACGCTGAAAGAACATATATCGTTCTTTCAAAAAAGTTTTTTTTTCTAGAAGTTTACGTCTCTAAGCATTATTGACAAGTTGTTGAAACTAGTTTTGTGAAATTAATTTCATTACACATAAAACTAATTTAGTAACGTAAACTAGGCTATGGCTTAGGATAAAGTTAGAATTTGACACCTTATTATTGTTATTTATCAAAAATCGTTGTAGTCGATTTTTTATCGATTTATTCACTATTTCAATAACAAATATATAACATTTTTTACATTTACGTCGTATTTTTTATTGATTATTGTGCTTTATAAGGCATTTTTTCTAGTTGTGTTGCGTAACTTCAAACAAAGATGAATCGTTTGTGCATAGCCCCAAGTTAAATAACATAAAACCATTCTGAACATAATATGTATAATACTTGCTTAGATTTACGCGAATATTTGACATTTAAAAAAAGTATTTTTTCGTATTATTTCGCGGATTTATTTTGATTTTTGCATTTGAATGCTTTACAACAATCATGGTCACCGGAGAGACTAAGGTTTAAGCAGTTTCAAAGGCATTATATGCTTGTTACAGATAGTGCCTACACACAAAGTTACAAAATGATTATTTGACCATGCTGTATAATTTGATTTCATAAGTTAAAATTTTATTATAACATTTTTTTATAATTAATCGAATAAACCATTATAAATAAAAATATGTAGGGATAATGAATGCATAAATGAATGAATGAATGAAAGAAATTATATTGATGACGGACTGCTAACGGACATATAAAACAACACAACAAACTAATATTACGTCCTTATATCCCAAGAAATACGATTTGAATTTGAATGAACCTAATTTTGATGCAACACATCGATTGTTGCTTGATTTTATAAGCTTCTATGGAATAGTGAACTCATCGTGATTTGTTACCATACGTAAAATATTATTTAAGCTATGACGTCGTAAATAAACCTCAATTAACTATATATTTTAGTAATTTGAATTATTTCTTAGTAATTTTAGCTCCGTTTGAAGTTATGCAACAGATATGTATTTATGTTGTTATATTATTATTATTCTTTAATCATTGTCATTCGATTAATCGATAAAAAATCCCCAAATCGATTTATTGATTTTTGATATACATAGATTTCAAATAAAAAATAATATGCTATTTCATTATAGTATAATAATTGACAAATTAAATATTTAAATGTTATACAATAATACACACAATTTATATAAAAAATTTATACAACGATATAACAAAATATTTTAAAACTAAATCTAAAACAACAATTTAAAAGTAAATCTAGAAATAGTCTTTAGTGGTTTTTAAAAGTTTTAAGAATGTAATAGTACAATAACTCAAACTAATAAACTCTATAGACGGAGTCCGCCAAAACAAATGTCGATGTCAAAAATAGTACCATGATTGATGTTTAAGCTAGCGATGGCTCGTCGACGTATTTAGCGTGAACGAAACTAGACCGTTCATTTTCTTTCGTCGACTAGTCGATCGACTAGTTCAAATCGTGGACTGTGGTTCACGTACGCTTCAATGTAGTTGTAGACGCTAGACAGTCTATAGTTACTAGTTCACGTTGCGAGCGACTGTCTTAGTCTATGAATTGAACTAGTTCATTTGAAATACGTGAACCGTCGAACCGTCGACGCATCGTCGACCGGTTGATTGAACTAGTCCGTTCATTCAACGGCCATCGCTAGTTTATGTTACTATTCTCGATTTTGCGATACAGATCGTTTATTTTCTTTAAATAACAAGGGAAATTTTATATATGTTAGTTAAATTAATATATAATTTTCGAGTTTAAAATGTGGATACTAAATTTAATACTATATTCTTTTGTATTTTTTAAGCATTAGTTCTGTTCAATTTGAAAGAGAGATGGCATAATATTAGTTTTTTTAATTTGTTTCTTCATTATAATAAAATCCGTCAGCTATTTCTATTTATTAACATTTATTTACTTTTCAATCAGTATACAAATGGTTATTTGTGTACTATTTCAAAACATTGTTTGGCTTCATGTTCAGTTCTATGACACTCTGTCTATATTATTAGTCAGAGTACAATAACTAGAATATATATAAAAATCAATAATAAAAAAGGGTGTCATTTCAACACTTTCAAATGGAAGAATCGAAGTTTAAATACATTTTGTTTAACTAATCTTGTATATGAAGTACTTTTTGGTACTGTATATATGTTTGGATATAATTAAAAATGATCTCATCTGAAAACCAAAAACTTACACAACCTTATCCAAATTCTTTAGATATGAAATATTTCTTAACATTTGTATGAAACTATTAAAAAAAAAGAAGAAAAGAAAGATGTCAAATGAAGTAGCTCATCTTTTTTGAACTCGGTTAAATTCTAACTTATATGTACTTTATTCAAATGAAACCTCAAAAGACAATTAAATTTAAATTAAATTTTTTTATTAAAAAACCAAGGTCGAAGTACCACCCAGGATATATTAAATAACATATATTAAAAGAAACATAATATGGATTATACACGCTTAGTTTATTGAAACCGCATTATATGTTATTGAAAAACCTTAGATAATATTTTTTGCCAATGTAAAAAATAAAATAAAGAATAAGTAAAAAAAATACCATTATAATTTATAATCATTTCTCTTTGTCAATTATTCCTTCAAACTCATGTCATCAGAATAAAACAAATATATAGCATCGTTTCAATGCAATTTCTTCATTGAAAATAACATATAAACCCAATTTTTATATTATAAGATGTCAGTTGACTCCTAACCTACGAGTAATAAAATATTTTTTTTCACTACATTAGGTCTTTTATACATCTACAGAAAAAAAAAATAACGGAACGATTATCGTTTTATAATTTGTAGCTAAATGTGGAAATAGCCTTAAAAATCATTAAAACTAAGGGTTTTGAGTAAATAATATTGTGATTTTTTTAATATTTTTTTTGCTTATATTTTTTATTACACATTTATATACACATATGTGTTGAATATTAATAAAATAAATTAGTATTAACTAATTTTATAAGGTTTCATTTGTTCAAACAAAAATGTTAAAAAGTAAGAAAAAAAATGTTACAAATTAGGAAAAAAAAGTGATTTCATGTTTTTTTTTATATAACAACATATGTCTTTAAAAACTCTTCGTGTATGAATGTTTTACCAATATTAAGAAGAAAAAAAATAATAAATAGTGAATATCTTATAAATTAAAATAAAGTCAACACATCACATCTATTTACTTCTTTAAAGCGACAATTTTCATTACTACTACTGAAATACTTACATAAATTGCAAAAACAATTTTAAAACTAAAATACACAGATAAACATAAAAATTGAAGCGAATAATTTAAAACATCAGTAAAGAAGTTCTTAAATAATCAATAAAACCAAAATAATAACAAGAATGCCGAGAAGAATCCCGATAACAACCCATTGTCGTCGATCTGAAAAAAAAGGGATATTTGAAACAAAAAAAAACACAAAAGTTTTAAATTTAAAATATTTTTTCAGCAAATTAATTATAAAACTAAAGTCGAACCATTTGTCATCAAAATAAAATCCAACAAAATGGTGGATATTTAAAAAAAATAGTAATTAGACTTTAATTAAGAAAGAACTGATTGTATTAAATGTAAATAATATAATACAATCATTTTAAATATAATTAAAAAAATATGTTTATGGTATTTTTTTTTAATTAAGTTTTCTTTTAAATTAACCCAAAAAAAAATTACAATAAATTTGTAATGTTACCATTGTTGATATGAAGGACCCTGGCAATCTTTTTGACTGTAGAATCGAGTTTAGAATCTGCATTCTCCAGATCTGTGTTCAAATCGTCGAGCATTCTGAAAAAATATTGTCAATTTTCGAAAAAATCAATAAAATAATGGCTTCCTTAGTCCTATAAAAGTAACTGTTTTCATTCACATTAGAAGAACAACAATATCTTAAAGGAAAACTCGTGTTGAAACTACCTAAAAGCTAATTAAAATTGAGTACACAGTTTTTTTATTCATGGAGAAAAATAAATTCAAAATTCCTGAAAAGAAGGTAGTACAAGACGCGAACACATTTAGTTGTTCAGTTCGCTTATAAAATCGCTAGCGATTACAATATAATATAAATCATATTTATTGCCTTTTATTTGCCTTTTTCTAACCATTATAAAAAATAACGATATTAAAAAAAAAGTTCCTTAATTTTTTTTTAGTTCTAAAAACATACACGGCTTTCTCACAGAACACAGTTTTTTGGCGACTGATTTTAAGTTTCTTGGGTACTAATTTGATCATTTTTATTTAATTTTTAATCTGCTTAAAATTTAGTTGATTTTCTATAAAGTCCCACACGTCGTGCCTCTAAAGATATTGCTTCAAGAATGACCTTATTTAAAATGATAACTACAAATTGCATTATTATTACTTTTGACCTTTAAGTAGAAATCGATTTTTTAACTAGTTAATTTCTCAGATATTTTTCTATATACATATAATAAAATTCTGAGTCGAATCTGTACATTAAATATTTTTTGGAAAATATTATTAAAATTGTAGGGGGCCGAAATTTTTTAGAATTTTTGCCTGTATGTCTGGGAACGGATCACGAGAAAACCACTGGACAGATTTTGATGAAATTTGGTATGATGATAGCTCGTTACCCTGGTCAACATATAAGATACTACGAGAAAATATGTCATCTTTGAGAAAACCATACATATAAATCCAAACGTTAAAAGTAACTAGTCACGAATCCGAGCGGAGCGAAGGTGTGTCGCTAGTGCGCTCTAAAATCGGTAGTCGTGCGAAAGCCAGAATATTTAATGGCGGGAAAAACAATGTGCCGTACAGCGAGAATCAATGTAATTTGCATAAATTCGATTATTTATGACGCATATAAAGGAAACGAGCTAAAAATTATTTAGTTTTTACTTATTTTCTAGAATATAAATTTTTCGTAATTATAGTGTAGTAGTGCAATCCTAGTAGAATAGAATCTATACATATAATAAAATACTATTTTAGTGAAATCTGTACATAAAATATTTTCTCAGTTTACTCCTTAAAAATCGATTTTCATAATAAATGAGTGTCGGTATGGAAATTTTGTGAGGAGTGAAATTAAGAAAAGCGTGACGTTTTACGTCATTGTAAATCCAATATGGCAGACACCCGAAGATGGCGGGCTGTGTTTTTTTATGGACCCCAAGATATAGATATCAGATGAAAGGGTTCGCTGAGAAGACTACGAAAAAAAGCTATGATTTTAAATTTTTTATAATGTTATATAATTAAATACATATATAATATTATTATTTAAAAAAAATTGATAAAATTCTGATTCGTATCTGTACATTAAATATTTTTTTGGAAAATCTTATTGAAATGGTCATTACTATCGATACTAAGGTTGAATCTATAGTTTTTAGAATTTTTGTCTGTCTGTCCGGGAACGCTTCACGAGAAAAACACCGGGCAGATTTTGATGAAATTTGGTATGACGGTAGCTGGTTATATAGGACTTTTTACTTCGGTAAAATATCTCAACTCTGAGAAATCTTTACTAAACGTTAAAACCCGAGAGAGCGAGAGTGAGTCGCGCTAGTTTTAATAATAAAATTAAATATTTTAAATTATCAAACATTCTGTCTCGTGTAGGAGTAAACTCCAGTCGTGCGTCGAAGCTGATACACACACTTTTATTTTTACTTTGTTAACGTATTGTGGACAAAAAATAGACCCTAAAACAATAGTTATTAAAATTTTGTTTGTTTGTCTGAATCTCTGTTTGTTTGTTTGTGTGTGCCTTTCACGCAAAAAGTACTGAACCTATTTTAACTAAATTTTGCGTAGTGATAACATATTATATTATATTACTCGAGTCAGCATTTAGGATACCTTTTACAACAGGAAATCTTTCATTTACAAGGGAAAACACAGTAACTGGTCTATCGAGTTGTCCTTAGAAATTTATATATAAGCTGGCTAAGCCTTAAGAGATACATCAAAACAATGTAATAGAAAATTGTAATATCTTAAATTATCTTAGATACTTATAATTTTAGATATACACCTAAATCTTCTTCATGAATCATACCGTCCATTGGTGCCGTATGAAAATCGGTAGTTTTTGAGTTTATCGCGTTCAGACTGAAAGACGCGACAGGGGTATTTTGTTTTATAATATATAGTGATAGAGATTTTAAAAACAAATAAACTTTTTCAAAATATTTTATTCAGCATTAAATTATTACAATTTGTTTACTGAACGTCATGAGTCTACTACCAGTTAGGAAAGATGAAGCCTCAGACCTGAGAAGAACTGGCAAAAGAAACTCAGTTCTCTATTTACAATGTAACTAGCGACTCGCCCTCGTCTCGTTCGGGTTCGTCCCTAGGTACGTTTACGCGGTTAGTATGAAATACAAATCTTTGAATTTCTCGTCTTTTCTGTACTATAATATGTATGTATTATACATATAAACCACCCCCTTGAATCACTCTATCTATTACAAAAACCGCATCAAAATCCGTTACGTAGTTTTAAAGATCTAAGCGTACATAGGGACAGACAGCGGGAAGCGACTTTGTTTTATACTATGCAGTGATAACGTTTAGAATGAATAACTGTTGAAAGTAGAGAAAATTTAACACTATTTAGCTCCAATAAGAACTGAGAGTCGATCGAGATCGGGTATGAAAATATCTGAATAAAGAGATATAGGCACTTCGACATAAGACAAACATCAATTTGTCTAATCTAAGCCTTTGTACGTTTATGGCTAACTTTAAAAAAGGATAAAATACTCATTTCTGAAGGTAGTGGTAGCCCAGTCGTAACGTGCTCGCTTGGGAAACAGAGTGAAGCGGGTTCAAATCCCGGGTCTCGCACCTCAGATAATTTCAAGCACGAATCATTTCTAACATGATTATCACTTATCTTTCGATGAAGGAAAACATCGTGAGGAACCTGCAAGTCTAAGAGAACCTAGTAAGTTTTTGAAAGATATGCTTAGTCCGTCCGTTGACCCGGATAATCAGCTATCACCATACCTAATTTCATCAAAATCCCTCTAGTGGTTTTTCTGTGATGCGGTAACAGACAGACAGACAAAAATTCAAAAAACTATAGATTCGGCCTCTGTATCGATAATAATGTTTATTTCAATAAGATTTTCCAAAAAATATTTAATGTACATATTCGGCTTAGTTACAATTTTATTATATGTATAGAAGAAGAAGTAAGATGGCGCCACATTCTCTTGGGCAGTATCCAACAGAATTGTATACAAATGAAACTTTATTTGCATCTTGTTACGTCACTTCTGAATTATTAATGCGTTTTCATTGCAAATGCAGATGAGATATATAAAGTAGCAAAACAAAGAGCTTACTTTCATTGAAATATATAAAAAACTTTCAAAGTTTTTCTGTTTGTCCCAAAATTTGGCATGATTTTATAATTTACTAGCGATTCACCCTCGCTTTGCTCGGGTTCGTCCCTAGGTACGTTTTAACGGTTAGTATGCAATACAAATCTTTGAATTTCTCGGCTTTTCTGTATTATAATATGCATGTATTATACATATAAACCTTCCTCTTGAATCACTCTATCTATTGCTTAAAACTGCATTAAAATCCGTTAAGTATTTTAAAAGATCTAAGTTAACAGGCAGCGAAAGCGACTTCATTTTATACTATGTAAAGATACATATGATAAAATTCTAACTGAGTCGGACCTGTTGTATAGTATTTTTTGGAAAATTTTATTGAAATGGTCATTATTATCAATACAAAGGCCGAATGTACAATTTTAGAATTTTTCTCTGTCTGTCTGAAAATGCATCACGAGAAAATCACTGGACAGATTTTCATATTTGGTATGATGATAGATGGTTATCCGGGTCAACAAATAGGATACTTTTTACTGCTTTTTGCTTTAGTTAGGATTGCTAGCATATACGTGCATCCGGAGGTCCTGGGTTCGAGTCCCTGGTCGGGCCAAGTTTAGTTATTGAGTCTTTCTGTATAGTAAGCCTCAGTAACAGCCCGGAGCTGGGAAGTTGGCTGTGTCACCCCCGTGCCTCGGAGAGCACGTAAAGCCGTCGGTCCCGCGCCTTAACTCTTACTGGTCGTGTCGAGCGGTCCTCCCACCGGAGTCCAACCTAGTTACATATAATCACATCATGTAAACTTAAAACATAATAATCAAGCAACAAAATACTCACACGGCCTGTTCATCCAGTTCGATCCCGATCTGTTTGGACACAGTCTTCAGCGATCCCACGGAATTGCTTATGACATGGAGTTGATCGTTTTGGTTCATCAACATTTTGTCCTGTATCGACATTATATCGCTGTCGTATGTGTCGAAACGGCTCGGACTGTCCGTTTGGTTGGCGAGCTTGGAATACTTGGAATATTTTGGGGTAGCCGTCCATGTGTTGCCAAAATGCATCGGACTTTCCTCGCCCAGAAGCGGTTCTCGAGCTGTACCATCGTTATCACGGTTCCTGTTGATACTCATCTTGCTTTTCATTACCTGGAAGGTTTTAGAATTTTTTTGAGTTTTCATGGTCATCATACATATAATAAAATTCTAACCGAGTAGAATCTGTACATCAAATATTTTTTGGAAAATCTTATTGAAATAGTCTTTATTATCGATACAGAGGCCGAATCTAGTTTTTAGAATTTTTCTCTGTCTGTCTGGGAAAGCATTACGAGAAAACCACTGGCCAGATTTTGATGAAATTTGGTATGACGATAGCTGGTTATCCGGGTCAACATATAGGATACTTTTTACTTCGGGAAAATATCTCATCTCTGAGAAATCTATACTAAACGTTAAAAGTTTGGTTTGAGTAGTACTTTTAAGATTTCAAAAAGGATTTTTGTATTACTTTATCTTTATATTATAGTGAGCCGATATTAATGATTAATAAGTGATTATGAAGACAACCTACTAGAAGGTATTTTATGTAAGTATGTTACAGGAGATCTACGATAACTGTGAAACAAACAATTTTCATAATTCTTTAAACCTACATATATAACAGGTATAAAAAAATTCAACCTCCAAGTTTAGGAATGATTACTTTTAAGCGATTTAAGATTCGTTTAACGTCTTTTTTTTTAAATATGCTTTGATGTCTTCTGTCTATTGCTTTAAATCCAGATTAATTAAAATGTACCATTATTTATTTGCATACCTTTAATTTAGAGTAATATACAAAAAAGATACATATTTTAGTAATAAAATTTTACTCTAGTGTAGATGTAGATGTAGGTAAGACTTAGTCAATAAATAAATGAAATTAATTATTAGAAATGAGACATTTTTAAAAAACTGGTAGTAGATTTTTTAACAATAAACAATATTTAATATATAAATAGGCAAAGACAAAACAGTTTAGTGCCTTTTATACTTTGCTTGTCAACCGATTTTTTTTTGCTTAGTAACTATAGACGAGCATTAGTGTTATCATTGAAAAAATGTTGAAGATTTTTTTTTGTATGGATATTTAAAATCTATTCATGTAATATATAAATATCTCGCGTCACGGTGTTTGTGGTCGCACTTCTCCGAAACGGTTCGACTGATTCTAATGATTTTTTTTGTATATTTGGTAGGTGTGAGAATAGGTCATAAATAATTTTTCACCCTCCTACCTCCACCCCCTATTTTTTTCAATAATGATTACGGTGGAATTACTACCACTAGATAAACAACAGTTTGCTTATAAACTTATAATTAATGAATAAATAAATATCAACACATGTTGATAACACCAAAGTTGCCACATAGAAATTTGTGTTACACTTAATGAATAATATAGGTAAATAATTAATTTAAAACGATATATTACCTTCACTTCTTGTTTGGTAGCCTCTATGAAGGTTCGTCTGTCAGAGATTTCTCGATTATCGATCTTGAATTTCGACGAGTTTTTCTCGACAATGCGTAATTTCAATGTGTTAAGGAAATTTAATATACTTTATTTAATTCATTTATTTATTTATTTATTATAGGAGTTATAATAATTATCTATATCTATACAGATAAATAAAATTGAAGTGTCTGTTTGTAATGTCAAAATAACAGCTTTTTACTAAATGCATATGAAATTACATATGGTGCTTACAAGAAAAACACAATTTTATTTTTTTTTATTTTTTCTATGTCTGTCTTGTTATTCCTGCTAACCTCCAAAACTGCTAGACTGATTTCGACAGAACTTTCACTAGCAGATACCTGATGTTATAAGGAGTAACTTAGACTACTTTTATTTTATAAAAAGAATTAGTACGTAAATCGCTAGTATATATATATATATATATATATATATATATAAATATATATATAGATAGATGTGTGTATATATGACATTTAGAATGAATTTGGAAATAGTATCATCACAATTATGTTTGACCATTTTAAAGCAAATATGGCATGGCATACATAAAGGTGTGTTTGGTCATAATTATTTACTCACTTTGGCTCTACCGTAAAAGCAGTAATGCAAACACGAAAGTATTAAAGTTGGAATCCAAAACTAAATCGAGGCTAATTGCGAGTGGGGCCCAAGCTGGGGGTTATTCTATATAAGGCACTATCTATATCTACACTAATATATAAAGTTTGTTTGAACGCGCTAATCTCTCAAAGTACGGATGCGAATTAAAAAATCTTTTGCATTTTACAGCCTATTTATTTCATGGCCAAAATACGCGAACCACGGCCTACCCTAGTTTTATTATAAACTAGCGACTAACCCTCGCTTCGCTCGGGTTCGTCCCTAGCATAATTCCCCATTTCAAACTTTCATCCCCATTTCCACCCCCTTAAAGGATGGTTTCCGGGATAAAAAGTATCCTATGTCCTTTTCCGGGTTTCAAACTAACTTCCTACCAAATTTCATCCAAAATCGGTTTAGTAGATCCAGAGTTACCCCCTACAACGTCAAAAACTCACAATCTCACAAACCCACAAACTTTACCTCTTTACAATATTAGTATAAATACGTAACATAAATATGTCTGGTAATTTGTATACAATTCCCAATACGCGAATCCGACTCGCGCTTAACCTATTTGTTTAAGAAGCAAAGAGATCATTTTTCTAAATTCATCCTATATAAGGGTAAAATAGATAATGAAAGTGTGTATGTAACTAACTACCTTTTCAGAAATTTTGTAGTTTTAATTTAAACACAAAAATGCTCAAAAAAAAGTACGGACGTATGTCTGTGGGTGTTAAACTTACTCAAATAAAAAAAAATATAAAAGCTAAAGTTTTAGTTTTTACTTTGTACTGGTTGTTATTTTTCACGTTATACCATATAAAAGACTTTTTAAGCTACTTTTGGCTACGGTATTTACCACGCGAACTAAACTAAGCTCAGAGGTTCCCAAATGTTGTCCGCGGAACCCTAGGGTTACGTAAAAGGGTCACTGGAGTTTCGAGTTCCGTCCGAGAGTTAAATAAAACGTTAAATAAACATAAAGCCTAATTTCAGTGCTGTTACAATTTAATAAATACAACAAAATTTGGTAAAATAAATATTATTATGAGTAAGTATAAAACATTTTTCATTTACGATCTATTCTTTCAAATCAAACAAAAAACTATTCTAACTACAACACAATCAGTTTAATTATTATCAAAAAGGGGATCAGTTAAAAAAATATGATCAATTAGGGATAGGCCAAAAATATTTGGAAACCGCTGATCTAGTTAGCTAATAGCAATAAATATAAAAAAAAACCTGCCCGATTTACCCCATTTACCCCGATTTAATGAAAATTGAGATATTGCGCGTTACTTTGCGCTGTTGTGACAGTTACATAAGATAAGAGCGGAGTCAATTCTACACTTCTATTCATAGGTAATCTAGCAAACTGCATATTCAATTGGTGCATTATCCGGCACGTACAACGTTATATAAAACCTGAATAGGGGTCAGGATATAGCATACATTGGAAAATTATTCATTTACACTCAATCTACATCAAGGGGCTATACGAGGAAGAGGACTGTTGGCATAATTTTATTATTATACCTGATACACGACCTTCGAATCACCTATACAGGAAAATCTTGTATTTTAAGACTTCGATTTGGATTTGGGTTCGTTTACAGTAATAAAAATCTAGCTCCTAATTTAGATTTTATTTGAATCAAGTTTCATAAGCTTCTGCTTGTTTTTTGTTTATATAGCAAGGTAGATTGTAGGTGATTTGTTCTGAGTACATTAGAGGTCGCAGGTTTGCTGGGTCTCACATATAACATACTTGAAGCAATTAAAATTTCAATAATCCAAAAAACAAAACAGAAAATTAAAATAGCTAGGAAATTCTTGCGAATATTAAAAGATCTAGCTAGCTATTTATAAAAACAATTAAGTTTAGGTATTCGTTGGGAAATGTGTGCATGTTTGTTACTTCTTTACCTATTCTGGACGGATTTGGATGAAATTTGGAAGTTAGTAGACATATAAACAATTATGGCCTGAAGTACATGTATGTAGGTTACGGTTAGTAACGAAACATACCAATAGAGATAGACATATCTATCTATATATATAAATCTATATGTGTATGTATGTTTATATGGAGTCCAAAACGGCTGGAGCGATTTTGATGAAATTTTCAGGCAATCTTCAGATTAGCCCAGCGAGTGATCATGTGAAGTTTTGTAGCGATCGGAAGTTTGAACGCAGGAGAAGCCGAGGGTACTGCTAGTAATACAATAAACAGTAAACACCATAGATAACCTAGGGACACATCCGAGCGAAGTGAATTTGTACCTAGTAGACATATAATGATACCGAATCGAAACATCGTATAATTAAACGCCTTCTTTAAAAAACTACATAATCTATAAAAAATTAATAAAACCCCGACCACCTTGAACCTAATTTCATCAAACATAGCTTAGGACACTACCGACTAATTCATCTTTCAAACAAAATCAAAATGGGTTCATCCGTTCGGGAGCAACTATGACATAGACAGACACATACACAGATACGTGAAACTTATAATACGCCGTCGTTTTTGCGTCGGGCATTAAAAACGATTCGTATAGTATGAACGACGCCAAACTTTAGTTGCGGTTATAACGCAAGACGCTTGTAGTAAAAATTATACAGACAGAATACATATTTTAAATTAAAAATACAGATTGCCACATATTATAGTTTGAAAGAAATGTTAAGTTAGTTACTAATAACCTATCTTTCTAGTGTGTGTGCTATCCGAGAGAAGAGGGGGAAGTGTATGTGTGTGTGGGGGGGTATGTCTGTATGTGTAGGTAGTAGGTACATAAGTATTATTTATTGAAAAGGATATTTATTGTGTCTTCCAAATCTTCCAAATCCCATTCAATGCTGCGTAGGGCATTCCTCAGTTCAGTAGATGTCCATTCTACTTCAGGACTGTTTGGAATAATTGGAGCTTTAGATATTTCTTGCCAGCGTAGATATAAGCCTCGAGTCTTGTTCAAAGCTCGGAACACCTCACTAGAAAACATATATTATATATTAATTTTAAGATATATTCATTATGTTAAAATATTTACATTCTAAGTTAATGTGTATTAGGCTTACTGAAAATGGGATGGAATATTTAAGCAATATTCTTCATACTAAGCGATAAATTTTAGTAAAATTAAACAGTGGACCTAATGCTACATACTGAGTGCTGTTGGACATAAAGATATTCATATTAGCTAAAAGCATAGCAAAACTCAAAGGTGGAATGAATAGTCTTTATTTAAAATATTTTATATTAGCTCGAAATTACTCATATATCAGTAGCTTTTAGTTAGTAATGGAGTTAAGATATTAAAGAATTCACATAATGGCATAAAATTTTAATAGAAAAGCTTTCAATATTAATTAATATCTATTTTTGTTACGATAATTACCTATAATTTTGGAATCAATATTACCACAATGTCAGTTTTGTATACAAACAAGCCCTTTATATATCATGGAAAAATAAATAAGTTCTTTGATATCATTATAAAAGCTAGTAATCATAATCTATCTATACATATAATACAATTTTGAGTTAAATCTGTACATCAATATTTTTTGAAAATTTTTATTGAAATAGTCGTTATTCTAGATACAGAATCTATAGTTTTTAGTATTTTTGTCTGTCTGTCTGTGACCGTATCACGAGAAAACTACTGGACAGATTTTGATGAAATTTGCTATGATGATTAGCTGGTTATCTGGGTATATAACATACTTTTTACTGCAGGAAAATATCTCATCTCTGAGAAATCTGTACTAAATGTGAAAACGTAACTAGGGATGAACCCAAGCGGAGCAAGGGTGAGTCGCTAGTATAATAGTATAAAATAATATACAGGTAATAATATAAAACAAAAAAGTCTTCGCCTGCAGTAACTTATATTGTAATTAAAAAAGTGACTTGTGTTAAATTAAACAGACTGTTTACTTAGATGCAAACAAACAAAAAAATTATACCTTTGTAAAAATTTAATAGTATAGCACAATTAAAAATTTACATCATAAGATTATTTTTATTAAAATGCAAATTAAAAAGCATGTTTTATCATATATTTTTATTTCTGTATTTGGGTCAGACGAATGTTCGCAATGCTGTTTATTCATAGATTTGCAATAGTCCATATAGTTCAGTGAGAGTTAATTTTACCTATACTAATAAATAAAATTGAAGTGTCTGTTTATAATATCAAAATAGCAGCTTTTTACTAAAGCAAATGAAAGTATACATGGTGAGGTACTTATAAGAAAAAAAAAGAATTTTAAATTTTTTGTCTATCTGTCTGTTTGTTACAGCTAATCTCCGATTTTTACGGGACTTTCACTGGCAGATAGCTGATATTATAAGGAGTAACTTAGGCTACTTTTTTTTTTTAAAAATCATTAGAGTTCTGCGCAAAAAAAATAAAACTCTTCAAATTGTAAACAAAATATGCATACCTAGGGGCGCACCCAAGCAAAGCGAAGGTAAGTCGCAAGTCCAGAATATATTAACACTAATTATTAAATACCAATGGTAATAAAATGAACTTCTGTGGTTCAAACAATGTGTAATAATATTAAAAAGCTCATAAGTATGTTTTTTTTAATCAGATTTGATAAATTTTGCTATCTATTTATTGAGAGGTATAGGCTACCTAGCATATGCTAGAATCCTTAGGGGTGGAAGCCTTGATAAAAATAAATTACACAAGCAGAGCCACAGGCAAAAGCTAGTCCAATGTGTGAGTAAAAAAAGTTAAATGTTGTAATTTTGAATAATATAAAATTCTATATTACTTATATGTATGTTGTAGGTAGACATAATTCAGACATAGTGTACACACTAAGATTATATTAAATTAAGTGCTTATTGAAATCTGAAATTTTGAAATTAAATACATCATCTTATTAACATTTTACAAACATCAATAAAATACATTTAATTTGTGTTTACAAACTAATAGTAAGTGCTTTAATTTGGTGCACAAGCACAAGTATACACCGCACCTAACAGTTTTCACTGTAGATAGGTACATAAACAAAAACACAAATAAACATATCATGCACATTGCTATCAAACACAGCAATCATACAATCAGTGACAAGTGCAGAGCTCCCCCACTTACTCTAAAAATAAAATACTTCGCTGAAGCTCAACAATACAAGAACTTAAGCCACTTACTCTTTGACGACGTAAAATGGATCTTCTAACGTCATGTCAAATAATAATGTATTTGCGCAAGCCGACTCATGTGACGCTGACTAGCACAAACAATTGAAATTAAGCAACCATTACATTTACACGAACATGCAGAATCCAGACGGGCCGCTGCCTATCCCACAAAATATCGACAGCCTAATACCTACCGAGAATATACTTCGCTCGATGACTCTATTCGCTGTCCCTTACTCTCTTATACGAGGGCACTCAACTGCAGCTGCGTAATGTTAATCCTTTCAGTGCGCAATCGCCAAGGCGGATCCCAGCCACAAGGTGCAGAATGGGAGCGATGCGATTTCACTCCCTCTGTCGTACATAATAAATGCCACGATAGTATTTTAAATGATTCCTCTTTTCCACCCAGAAGGGTACGTAAACATCACCTCATCCCACAGCCCTTAATATGTCACGCTTACTGACATTTTGACGTTGTTTATTCCGTTCAGAAACAAAAGATGAAAAATCAGACAATGACTTTAATGAAGCGAGTATAATAGCTTTCTTGTAAATATTCTCCTGTATTATTTTTCTGTTTAATATATACTTATTATACGCTTATGAAAGCTGAATATAACAAATTATTTTAAGAATATAATATTTATATATTTTTTTATATAAAAATAGTGATTTATTCAAATAATTATACAGCGGAGTACACAGTACATATTAATTAATGTGGCAGGGTGGTATATTAAAATCACTACATATGGATGATATGAAATTATTATATTTGTATATTACAACTCAGTAGATTTTTTTTTTAAATAATAGACCGAGCGAGCGAAGCGTCTCTGCTTCAAATAAGGCTTTAATGGCAAAATTTGCTTTCCTCTGTCAGATTGTTATCGTCGGGGATTTTTAATTAAACGGGTACATCCTCCAAAAAGAGACAAAAAGGGGGTTACTAGATATCTCCCCCTTATGAGAACCGATTTTGATGTTTTTTTTTATTTGAAAGATAGTAACTTATTGTACATATTATCACGTTTTATTCTTGCCGCGAGATGTACATATGTATGTCTCCGACAGCATTATACTATATTTCTTCATTAACCTGTTTTTATCTTTTTAGTTAGCTTTTATGTAGTCTGGTTTTTTTATAGGTAATATATATTTTATTATTTACAGCTTTTTTGTTTTTGTATTTTATCGTTTTCTCTTAAAAATCATTATTTTGATAGCTCGCTTGATTGGTTTGGAAAAATTTTTTAAGACACAAATTGGTCTAAAGTCTGAAATCCGCCATTATAATGTTTAACTATTTTTAAATAGCCTATGACACTCGCGTTATCACGACGAATCTAACGACGTATGAATCATCAAAATCGAGCCCTACGTTTCTTCTCTAGAAGGCCACATATAAAAAAGCTAACATACATAAATACATACATACGTAAATAGTACATACGTACATACATAGACTAATAAACACATTACCCTCCTTTGCATTACGCAGTCGGGTAAACATACGTAAAAATAGAACATACAATATTAATTTCTTATAATTCATAAAAGTATTATATTATAAATACTTATAGTTTATGCCAATTGGCAGTTATATGTACTTTCAAAACATTATAAATAAGTAAATATCTTTATATTACAGTCTTACAGATATTTATTTACAATCAATACACTATAATAAAACTGTAGAGGTTGATTGTCTGTACATAGAAAAAAAAATGCTAAAAACCCAGTCAGGTGGGTGTAAGAAGAGACAGAAAAAATCCAGATTTCGTTCAAATTTTTTGTTTCTCTGTCTGTTTGTACGGGTTAATCTCCGAATCTATTTGACCGATTTAAATGAAATTTTGCATGGTGGTACCGTATATATCCGGGCAACATCTTAGATATTTTTCATTCCGGAAAATTAAAGAGTTCCCGTGGCATAGTTAAAAAACTATATTTGATATTAATGAAACTTTACAATAATATAGTTCATATATAACAATAACAAATAGGCTACTTTTTATCCCGGAAAAATGTACGGCTCCCGTGGGGTAGATTTGTTTTTGTTTGTAACGTATTATGTACACAATATAGACCCCAAAACAATAGTTATTAAAATTTTTGTCTGTTTGTCTGTTTGCCTGTATGTCTGTTTGTCTGTTTGTCTATTTGTACGGGCTAATCTCCGAAACAGTTGGATGGAGAAAAAATCCAGATTTCTTTCAATTTTTTTGTTTCTCTGTCTGTTTATACGGGCTAATCTCCGAATCTATTTGACCGATTTAAATGAAATTTTGCGTGGTGGTACCTTATATCCCAGGGCAACATTTAAAATAATTTTCATCCTGGAAAATTTCTATTGCTTCCGTGGGATAGTTAAAAAACTATAGTAATTTATACAGCAACTTATGCACCTAATTTAGTTTTAGTTTGTGCTTTTCTAGAGGCGAACCCGAGCGAAGCGAGGGTGAGCCGCTAGTATCAATATATTTTCATCCAACCATTGATTAGTAGTTATACACGAATATTCATATGTATTGAAAACCGTCTGGGATGATAGAGTTGCCCACATAAAATTATTACCTCATATGTAGGCAAAATAAAGTAAATATGTAATTATTACGTTAATATATTAAAAAGGATAGTTCCAAGCCTAGAAGTAGTCTACTAAAAAAAACAAAAATTGCGGTAAGTTAAGCAAACACACCATTTTTCGTTTTTTCCAGACATACGTCATAACAACGACAGATAAATAGACATGGATTCACAACATTTCAACAGAAATATTTTATTACTATTATTATTTTAACAAAACTTGTAAGCATTGGTACGTAAATTTTACAAGTACGAACATTGTTTGCCTTACCTATATAATTTGTTATATTTTTTGCCCCGGAGTCTACTAGTGGCATTAAAATACAAAATAGGAAATCAGCTAGCGTTTACCCGGTCAGCTAGTATTTTCCATGATTAGTTAATTACATACCCTCACTTTGCTCAGATGCATCCCTAGGTGCCTAATAATTATGTACAGAAATAAAATCAATTACCAAATGTATATAAGCGAACTTTTTCAGAACGGCTGCACCTATTTGCCTAATTCTTTTTTTGTTGTGCTTATAATTCTCAGGATAAAGTTTGGGTGAAAGAAATATTTGAAAAAATGTACGGAAAAGTTAACAATTGGGTTAAAAAATAAAACACTAAGTTGACAGATTGACGTTCAGTTGTTCAGTTTCTTCATCATGATAACAATATTTAAAAAAGAAATTGTCAGTTTTGTCGAAATGTAAGATAATTATATTTATCTATATTAATATTATAAGAAGGTAATGTTTGTGTCGTTACGAGTTTGTGAGGTTATAGCGGGTAATCTCCGGATCTACTGAACCAATTTAGATAAAATTTGGTAAGAAGATAGTTTGGAATCCTGGAAAGGACATAGGATACTTTTTAACTCGGAAATCATCCCTTAGGGGGTGAAAATGGGGATGAAGATTTAATAACTGATAAAGTAATATAAATAAAAAATAGTCAATAGTATTTTTAAAGTAACTATCTTTTAGTATCTTGTCACGGTTTTATATCCTCCGATACGTGTCCTGAGGTAATTTTTACTGTAAAGTATTGGAAACGTCAGGATCAAAAATAATAAATGTAACGACAAAATCTGAAAAGATGGTTTCATTTAAAATGCCATATATTTATTTACATCTAAGAATATGGCACTTGGTTATAATATAGCTTCTTATTAGTGAAAGTATCGGATCAGTAGATTCAAACACTACCCATTAATATGTACAAATTTACAATCTTTACCACATATTTCTTTCTTAGATTTACGCGAATATTTGACATTTAAATAAAATTATCTTTTCGGATTATTTCGCGGATTTATTTTGATTTTTGGTTCCCGACGTTTCAAATGCTTATATTTAGTTTTATTTAAAATCTTTACCTCTTTATAATATTATTTAAATAACTTGTACATTTAGTAAGTAGTTAGTAAAATAAATTAGGAAATCATCTCATCAATCAATCAATCATCGACTTTGTGATCATCTCTATCTATTAAAATAACTATTATGAAGCTTTTGCAACATTGAATTCATCTATCAATCCAAAAAGTAAAGTTAAGAATTTTACCTTTTAAAGGAATAAAAAATTACATTATAAACTCATCACTAAAAGTGTATTTTTCAAACTTTCTCTCTTCATTTAATAATGTTAGATTGATGTGTTATAATTTTTGTTATTTTATAAAGTAATATTTCATTAATGGGAATAAATATCCACTAGGCTGGCAGCCTTATGCACTTAGAACATATTGTATAAGTATGTATATATAATCTGTGTACTACTTTATAATCTGTGTTCATCTTCTGTTCGCTTCATTCTTCACAGCTCAACTCCTGCATGGAGTAGAGTGATATTTCACTTTAATTTTATTTGTTTTAGTCATTTTTAAACATCATGAATTCAGTTTTAAATCCGGAGGCTCCAGAGTTTTATCCACATTTAACATCAGTCACCCAGGTATGCTCGCACGATGAGTTCAACATCCTCTTTGACAACATTTAGCATGTGTTTTTATCGTAATAGTTGTTTCTGTGCTTGAATTAAAACTTGATTGTGCTAAAATAGGTCAAATTCAATCCGTTCCAATTGATCCAATCAATTATGATTAGCGAGATGATAGGTATTTGCTTAAAGAATGTTAGATATCATCTTCGTTTTGGTACGAAGTCACTAGATAGCGATATTTGTTTCATGGACAAAGAAAATATTTTAATCAAGGTAGACAATACGTCACCGAGATGTGGTCAAATGTTATTGAAGCATGGAAGCAACTTAAGATGATTTTCCTCGAAGTTTTTTTATTATATCTTGCACAATATCTACAGCAAATAATACTGCCAAGGACTAATGCAGTTTAAGAGGTTGTTATTTTACAATAAATTGTAAATATTATGTTGACTGGTCTCAGAAAAGTAAATTAATAATATTTTTTTAACAAATATGTTATTACTATGACTGTAATCGAAATTATAATACACAAAATAAATTCTTAGTTTATTAAGGTCATTTGCCAATAGCTTGTATGAACATATTTTTACTTACATTTATTGACATAAAAATTGCATTATTTTGATTCACAACACAAAATTTATATATTTTTCTTGTAATATTTGCAAAAATATATTGAAAGATAATTTAAAATTAGGTCATATGATTAAAAATCAACTTATCAATGTTACTTGTAAATAGATATTTTAAGAAACTTGCATAAAGAAATTGAAGAAATTTGAAAGAGGGTATTAGGATTATATGATAATAATATAGGTGTTATCTAAAAGTAATGTTTTATGTCCTATTTATGTATAAAAGAATTGTTAAATGAAAATAATCAATAATGTAATATATACCAAAACAAACTAAAGTTATGTACAAAGTGTAATTGAGTGTTTTATTAGCTTAATCTTTTATAAAAGATGGGTGTACCTTAATAAGTCAAAAATAGTTTATGTTATGTTAGTATACTAGCATTACTTGCGGCTTTGCCCTCGTTCAGAAGACCAAAAACCAAATTCTTAGGTCTTACATATTTGTATACTCTTACATTGTAGTTTTGTATATTTTCTAAGAAATGAGATATTTTCCTGCGGTAAAAAGATAACCAACTATCACCATACCAAATTTAAATTATCAATAAAACACAATTTTTGCATTACTTAAAAGAAATAACAGTTATATGTTGTACCTATTTTCTTTTATGTTCAAGGTAATTTCTTAATATTTAAAATTTTTATTATTAATTATAGAGTGTGTCTCATTATGCATTTATCAAAACTTTAAAGCATCCACAACATGTGTTTATACTTTTCTCAACTGCTAATTTTTCTGTTTAAAAATATTACTTTATATTCCAGGGTGGCTACACGTCAGTACACAAATCTATAAAGTCATCAAATTATTTACCAGGAGGAACCTCTTATGATATATTCAAGACATTCAACGATTTTAATATTGTTTCATGCCAATTAAGTAAAAATGTTATTTTACAAACAAGTGACATTGTAATAACGGAAATACCTGCTGTGAAGTTGAAGCAGTAAGTGTAATACAATTAATACATACATTTTTTTATAGAATTAAAAAGTTCTGAAACCATCTAAATTATATTTGTTCCCCCATAATTTTGTACCAATTTTACTTATTTGTATCTTATATGCTTTATATAAAGCTATAATACATTGTATATGTATGAAATATATATGGCCTCATCTCCCTCGTATTGCAGGGAGGCCCGTGCCCAGCGGTGGGATGTTAAAAAGGGCAAAATATATATGTAATATTCTTTATTTGCTTGTAAGCTCAGGTTCCTTTCTCTCGTTCCTTCCATCCACAAAAATATTATGTGATATTTATTTTTCTTTTTCTTTCATCTCTCATACAATATATATTAAGTTCTGTCATATTCATATATTAATGCACTTATTGCGAAGTTTTCAATTAGTTGCTAAAGCGACAGACATATATATTTCTTAAATGAATAAAAACCGTTTTGTTGCTTGTCTTGTTCTTTATTTCTCCTTTAAAATTATTTGGTTATGGTCTATGACTACCATATTCAAGTCTGCTGTTGCATTTTGCCAACTAAATAAGTCATTTTTATTAGTACTATGTCTTTCTCTAACTGACAATGACAATTTAAAAAAAAAACTTAATTTATATTATTAATTTGTTTTTTGTCTGTCTGTATGTATGCATTGTTACAAGTATTTGTTCTCAATTAAAGGGGTTACCTTTATAATTATATGGATTGCTATTTATTCTGTACGCTTTCTACAGTTTTAGACTCAAAAGTAACTATCATAATTTCAGTATTGTAACAATAAATACAATGTAATATAATGTAAGAGTTACTTGCAAAGATTTGTTTCATATGTACACTTACTCGTATACCGCTTGTCTAGTTAATAGTGTAATAGCCTAAAGCCGCGGGTTCGAATCCCGTGTGCGACAAATGTTTATATGGGTTATTTTAGATATTTGTCAGTCTGGGAGTGTGTCTGTATGTTTTGTGCATACAAACCCTCGTTATTAGATGAATTAGTGTGGAATTTAATATTGTGGCGTTTAAAACAATGCAAGAGATACATAATACTGTATCCATCTAAAGTTATAAAGCTGAGCTCTTGAAAACTTTCTGTCTGAAATTGCACAAAATAAATTGAATAACTGCAGAGTCAACTTCCGTTTTTTTTCCCAAAATGCTTAACTTCCGCCATCATTTTGCCTCACTAAACTTGTCAATGTTGCTGAAATAATGGAATTTGGACTTATCTATATATATACATATTATTTTGTTTTTATGTAAAATATAATCTATTCTTGAACCATCCATCCATAACTTTAAATGGTAAATGTTGTTTTGTGGGTTTGTTTAGCCTACTATTGACTACATTTTGCAATCTGGATGAAATTATAGGTATTTAAAATATCAACTTTTTCCATTTAAAATATAAAAATTAGTAAAAAAATCTTAATATATATAACTCTTCTGTACGTGTGTTTTTCACCTTACTTCTCCTAAACGGCTGGACCGATTTGGATGAAACTTTATATGTATCTTTCAATGGGCTCCTAGAGGTTAGATGGTTTGAAAACACAATTGGACCCGGTAGGTGGCGCTTCTGTCGGTGTGTCAAAGAATGTTTTCTTGTAGTTTGAACGCGGGCGAGTCGCGGGTACTGCTAGTATATGTACAGAGGCGTATAGTTTTGCTTACAGTGTAATATTTATTTTAAGTTATATTTATTTTTTTATTTATTGTGCTGAAGCTGGTTTCATTGAAACAAAATATTTCATCATATTGATTTCCAAACTGGTCAAATGAAGGACCGAATGAGTCAGTATGTATGCCATTATTACCTCATAAGGGAAAGTGCGCAAAGATGAATGTCTACAAAAGATCAAATACTTATAATAATGCATGCGGCTTCGCGTTTTCTCTTATAAATCAGATTTTTTTGAAGCGATTAATCTTTTTACCCGACTTCGAATAGGAGGTTCGAGATTCGGATCTTATTTTTTTGTATGTATGTTTGCTTGTATGTATGTGTGTATGATACTTTTGCCGATTGTGAACTGATTTTACTGTTTCTTTTTACTTTGAAAGTTGTTTAAGTTAAAAAAAATGTGTTTGAAAGTAAAGTCTATACATATAATGAAATTGTAACTGATCGCTGTCTGTACTAGGAAGATATTTGAAAAAAACTATTATTGGTCTTCATTGACACAAAAGAACCCAAAACAATGATTTTTAGAATTTCTGCCTGTTTGTCGTGCGTTTGTGTGCGCTTATCTCAGAAACGGCTTAATCGATTTCGATGCGGTTTTCACTAATGTATTGTGGTAAGCTTCACTTAACATTCAGTATGTTTTATTTCAATCGGATCAAAAAAAAAATTATGTCAATCAAAGGAATCAATAGTTAAGAATAAAAAAATAAAATTATTCTAAAGTCCTTTAAACTAATATGTTAAAAAGTAATTATGTCATGTTAAATTTTGACACAAACAGACATGATATCGAATACAACACAGAGAAAATAATAGACGTGAACGACAGTTTGCTGGATAGAGTTAACATCAACATTGAAAATGTGTGCAGAGTGGACACGCCAAGCGGCCAGCACAATGAGGGGACGTATCCTGTATGGACGAACAAGCCGGTTATCACCAAGATAAAGGTAAATATACCATCACATATCTATTTCTTTCGTCTCTTTCAAACACTATTTTTTCTCCCTTTTTCTCTTTTATAACTTTTTTGACAACACGTTTGGCTCAGCTTGTAGTGACCCTACTTGTTGTACCAGCGGTCGCGGGGTTGAGTCCCGCTGGGAGCATTCATTTGTGTGATGAGCACAAATGTTTGTACTCCAGTCATGGGTGTTTATATTTATAATATGTATGTATTTAAAGTTATATATGTGTAGTGTATCCACTATCTGGTACATCATAACACAGGCCTCTTAGCTAATACCGTGGAACTAGATGATGCTGTTTGTTAAAGTCCCAACATATTATTATATTATTTATCTTTTAGATATTTGTCCCTTATATATGAGTTTTACGAATATATATTCAGAATTATTTTCAGAATTTTTTGTTAATGTCCCACATAGTTATATTTATTTACTTACATTTTTAGTAAGTAATAGTAACAAGATACAGGTAAATAATACATCGCATATGTATTTTCCTCCTCTCGTCCTTTCCCTATTTCTCTTTTTTAAATTCATTTAAAGTATATTGAGTGATGTGAGAGTTATAAAAGAAGATACGGTTATTTATGATCTGTTACTGATATAATCAAACATTAGCTTTTGTGAAATTATCTATATCTGCCTTTATAATTTATATAATAGAATTAAAAAAAAATGATTTCTACACATTTAATAAATTATAATTTTAGTTCAGACAATAAAAGAACTATTTTTAGTAGATCCCGATCTATCTAGTGGATCCCTCGCTCTTTTAGCATGTATTATACTAGAGCAAATTTTTGGTAACAATCCTTCTGGGTTGTGTGTGTTAATATGTTTTATGGTTTAAAAAAACCCCCAACTAAAAATTTTCTAGGGACGTGTCTAAGCGGAACTGGGGCTGTTGATATCGTATGGTGAAGCTTATTGAAAACATTAAGCGATTTGAATATCTAATGTAAACGTAATCAATTATCTGTATTTGACATCAATTTCTGCGTACAATGCCTTTAATACTCGTACTACCAGTCAAAATAAACTATGTATAATAATACTAGCGGCTCACCCTCGCTTTGCTCGAATTCGTCTTCCGTCGTCGTCGTCCCACGGGAACCGTATATATTCTGGGATACTTTCCGGGATAGCATATGTGCTATTCCAGACTAATCTATCACTGAGTTAAATTTCATTCAGATCTGTTCAGCCGTTCTAGTATGATTTAGTAACAAACATCCATACATCCAAACTTTCGCATTTATATAGTACTAGCACAGTCCGCGGCTTCGGCTTCGTCTATGAATTTCAAAACATGCTAAAACACGTATTACCAAGTAATACCAAGTTTCAAGTAATTCTGATCATTATTATTTTTTGGATTGTAATATAACGTATTTTCCCGCGGTAAAAAATAGCCTATGTCACTCTCCAGCCCTCCAACTATCTCCACACAAAAATCACGCCAATCCGTCACTCCGTTGCGACGTGAAAGAAGAACAAACAAAAAAACACACTTTCACATTTATAATATTAGTATGGATTAAGATTCTTCTGACTGATTCGGCCACGGCGGCCAATCTCACTGAGACTAGCCATCTGCGCAGGAGATATTATAATGCATAAGAATGCTCAAACACAAGCACACTCTTCATTTTTTGGGTTGCGGTGGGATGACAATACGATACGATCGGTGAAGAATCAGTCGCGTTACCGACTGCTTTACGTAGCTCAACTTTTTTTTAAAGAACCCAATAACTAAACTTGACCTGACCCGGGACTCGAACCAAGAGCCTCCGTAACTGCAGTTGCACATACTAGCCACTAGAAAAAGTAGGCGGGCAATCTACGTACAAGCTACCTATGTATGTCGGGCCAATTGTATAATTCTCATACAATGAATGTTAATTTATCAAAGTGCTCGTGGCTCGCGCGTGTTGCTAGTTTAAAATTGGTTTTTTATCAGTCCATTTCATTATTTTGTTAACTGATATAGAACTCATACTAATAAATGTGAAAGGATGCTTGTGACAAACAAACTTCACGTTGAACTGATTGATATGATTTTTTTTTGTATGGAGAAAGAGAGGTGGAGAGTCCTATTAGATATATTTGGAAAATATGTTTATTCTACGGGAATACACATTGTAATAAAATTCATAACGATACCTTAATTGGCAAAACAGTTAACTCCACATTTCATTAAAAAAATATTTTTTGGGTTCAGATTGTAAGTAACAGTGATTCAGTAGGATTATTTTAGTAGAATTTTACAGTATTAAAAATTATCTTCCATAGCTATTTTAGATTTTTTAATAAGTAGTGAACAAAAATATTAGAATGTTTTAAGTGTGTCCTGAAAAATTTGCTCATATGGAGATAGCCCGGTTTGCCAATTGTGGCATCGATACCGTATTTCATTTAAGATATCGAAGGTCATAACGCATAAACACGTATGAGTGTCACATCGAATTAATATCAAACATATTGGGAAAGTGTTACATAGAGAGATAGGGCACATTCTAAGCGAATGGTTAATGTATTTATTATAACGTAAATAATCTATACATACTATAATAAAATTGTAACTAAGTCGAATCTGTACATTAAATATTTTTTGGAAAATCTTATTGAAATAGACTTAATTGTCGATACAGAGTCTGAATCTACAGTTTTTAGAATTTTTGTCTGTCTGTATGTCTGTTACCGCATCACGAGAAAACCACTGGACAGATTTTGATGAAATTTGGTATGATGAGCTAGTTATCCGGGTCAACATGTAGGATACTTTTTACCGCGGGAAAATATCTCATTTCTGAGAAAAATTACAAAAACTGCACTATGGGAGTATACTAATATGTAAAACTTAAGAATTTGATTTTTGGTCATCTGAACGCGGGCGGAGCCGCGGGCAATGCTAGTATTATCTAAATAAATAATAAATTTTTGTTCGTTGGTAAGCGCATAATTTGAGAACGGTTGGATCGATTCGGCTACACGCTTATCAGGCGTCTAGTCGTAGGTTCTAAAAAGGTTTTATGGAAACAAAATAATTAAAAAGTTTTAAGTTTTCTCTATGAGATTAAAAATCATAAACAAATTTAACATTTAAAACCAACTTGGGTTTTCGATTTTACTTGCAATCTTAGGGTTATTTTCGCAACCAATGTCCTAAAATTATTAAGAACATATCAAATTAATTATTATTATAAGGCTAACTCATCATTGTTTTTAGGTGGGGTCTACAATGTTTATTGGCGCTAAAAACATACCGCGACCACAGTTGAATTTCAAAGACCCAATCGACAACTCAGATAACCTCTGGGTTCCCAAAATATCTGACAAACCAAACAACATAAAGCCGTTAGCTTTGAACATTCTGTATAATGAAGAGGGTGAAGCAGTCGGGTGAGTGAATACTTATTGTTGAATTTTCTGTACCAATATTTTTTAATTTTTTGAAATTTTTTGAAGCATTCGAAACGTCAGTTTTACTTAAAATGTCAAATATTCGCTTAAATATAAGGTATTATGTTAAATGTTTCATTAATTAAAGTTCATTTACAATACAGATACGAACACCCGTACAAAGTGGAGTTAGATCTCTACCAGCCACCCGCTCACTTCATACAACCAGACCCGGAACCCCCGACCTTCCCCCCACCACTCGAGGACACAAAGCTCACGTACATTGACACTGAGGAACTGGTGGATGAACTGGTCAATCACCTGGATACAGTTGAAGAGTTGGCAGTGGATGTGGAGCATCATTCGTACAGGACCTATCAAGGTAAGTGGGTTTTTTGGGGTTTGATTTAGATAACTTATGTTTTTTTTAAATGGAGAAGGATAATGATATTTAATTATATGTACATGTACTAGCTACTTATACTTGTGTTCGCTCGGGTGCGTCCCTAGGTAGGTTTTTTTTTTTAGCGGAACCCTAATTCTTTTTCTAAAATAAAAGTAGCATAAATTACTCCTCATAATATTTGCCAGTGAGAGTCCCATCAAAATCAGTCCAGCCGATTCGGAGATTAGCTGGAACAGACAGACAATTTTTTTTTAATTGTGTTTTTCTTATAAGTACCGTATATAATTTCACATGCATTTAGTAAAAAGCTGTTATTTTGACATTACAAACAGACACTTCAATTTTATTTATCTGTATAGAAAAAGAATTTTGTTCCGAATAAGGGTTCCGCTCAAAATTATTAAAAGGTACCTAGGAAGGCACACAAGCGAAGCCAGGTTAAATCGCTAGTTTATGATATAACAGAAAGTGTTATTTTATTGTAGGTATAACATGTTTGATTCAAATATCGACGATCGAAGGTGACTTCATAATCGACGCGTTGGCCGTGAGGGAGCATATCCACAAGCTGAACTTGTCTTTCACGGATCCTAAAAAACTAAAGGTGAGTAATAAATCTATACATAATATTATAAATGTGAAAGTGTGTTTGTTTGTTTGATTTATAAGGGGGTAAAATAGGGGATGGAAGTTTGTATGAAACTTATATATAAATAAAATACGCGATTAGATTCGCGGGTAAAAAAAATCAATAAATTTTGGCTTTCTGCAGTCCTTTTCTATATAAACTTTAACTATGCCAAAGCTCATACTCCTACGTACATGCAATATGCTTAAGAAGGGGTTTAAAGTTTTTGCTTCACGTATTAATATATAGATACTAATAATATATCACCTCCAGGTAAATTTCTAAGAAATTACTTAAAATTCTAATACCCGATTTCACCAACGTCACCTAAGTTTAAGGGATCCCCTAAGCATGGTTAGGGGGCTGTTAGGGGACAGTTTTTATTTCACCGACAGTTGGTCCGACACCGAAATATGGGCTTAAAGACGATGGTAAAACGAAATTTAATTTAGGGGCTAGTTTAGGGGATTTTTTAGCTAGGGATCCCATACGTAGGTGGTAGCTTATGGGTTGTTGGTGAAATCGGGCATAAGAAATCTATTGTTAACTGTAACGGCAGCGTGTCCGCGGTCGTGGATGGATTAAAGTATCTTTTTGATACACACCGTTAACGTCGACCATTACATACAATGTCTGTTCCCAGGTGTTCCATGGGGCAGAGATGGATATACTATGGCTGCAACGCGACTTCGGTCTGTATGTGGTGGGAATGTTTGACACCCACCAAGCGGCTCGAGCTCTGAACATATCCGGACTCTCTTTGAAGAGTCTACTGATGAGATACTGTGGAGTCGATGCTGATAAGAAGTGAGATATTTAGTTGTTTATTTATTTATTTGGTAATCTTACAGCGTTACAAAAATAATAAAATACAGTTTGAGCGCAAAGTTATTAACAAGTATGGCCAAAATTAGATTACTCTGGTATATAATGGACAACGGAGTACTCGTACATTGAAAAAAGAAAAAGGTCTGAATAATTATATTGACGATACGTTTGGCTCAGTTTGTAGTGACCCTACTAACTGTGCCAACGGTCGCGGGTTCGAGTCCCGCTGGGGGCATTCATTTGTGTGATGAGCACGAATGTTTGTACTCCAGTCATGGGTGTTTATATTTAGGTATAATATGTGTGTATTTAAAGTTATATATGCGTAGTGTATCAACTAGGTATCCATAACACAAGCCTCGTAGCTTACCATGGAACTAAATGGTGCTGTGTGTTAATGTCCCAACATATATTAAAAATTCATCATGCTAATAAATTGTATTGGCACAGTGGGAACGTGCTGGGAAAATGGAGTGAAGCGGGTTCAAATCCCGGTTCTCGCTTTGATATTTTATGATTACGGTTGTCTTATGGTGAAGGAAAACATCGTGAGGAAACCTGCATGTCTGAGAGAACCTAGCAAGTATTTGAAACATACGACTATGGCCTGATCCCACTCGTATAGAAGGACCTCCCCCAGCAGTGGGACGTTAAAAAGGGATGAATACACTATACATATCACATACACCGTAGTGCTAACCTGTAGGCTATGTTCACATTTCCTCATATATATTTTTACCTCTTATTATAATTTAGATGTACATCAAATTAATTAATTAATTAATTTATTTATTTATTAAGACTACCAACAGAAATGACAACAATACAAGTATAATTAACATAATACAATAAACACAGTATAATTGTATCTCTTTTTAGAGGTAATCACAGCATGCGTAGAAACAAAAGAAAACAATCAGTTTAATAAATAAAAGTATAATAAATACATTATCGGATTTATTAATTATTTACTTTTATTAGCTAAAAAGATGTGCTCATATCAAAATTACTTTATATATATACTTTTTTATTAACTTGCTTGCATATGAGAATTAGCAAATAGAATAGAAGAGCTCCATTAGAAGTGTTTTGAAACCATTTATACTAATATTATAAAGAGGATAGATTTTTTTGTTTGTTTCTCTGTACCGAATAAGCTCTGAAACTTTTGGACCGATATCGATGAAATTCGGTATGAACATAGTTTGGGACTCTGAGAAGGATATAGGATAGGTTTTAACACGGAAATCAGCCCTTAATGGGATGAAGGTTTGTATGGACAAGCATTCTAGAAACGAACCCAAGCGAAGCCAGGGTGAGTTTCTAGTGTAATATAAATCTATACTAATATTATAAAGAGGTAAAGTTTGTGACGTTGTAGGGGGTAATCTCTGAATCTACTGAATCGATTTAGATAAAATTTGGTAAGAAGATAGTTTGAGACCTTGGGAAGGACATAGGATTTACATACATATGACATAGACTTTTTATCCCGGGAAGGGATTAAGGGGGTGAAAATGGGGATGAAAGTTTGTATTGGGAAGCAATCTAATATTAATTTAAATTAAATATGAGCATTTTCTCCAGGTACCAACTAGCCGATTGGCGTATAAGGCCTCTACCAGACGAGCTGGTACAATACGCACGTATGGACACGCACTACCTTTTATATATATGGCGTCGTATGAAAGGCGAGTTGTTGGACGCCGGTGAACATATTCTACTGTCCGTGTTCGAGCAAAGTCGACAAATTTGTGGGGCGGTGAGTTTTCATTTATTTATTTTCCTTCACCGTAAGTTTTTATTTAAAAAAAGATTACGAATTAATATTAGTCCCGATTTTTTTCTTTTGCCAGTTCTTCTCAGGTCTGAGGCTTCTTCTTTCTGAACTGGTAGTAGACAGAAAAAATTGTAATAATTTAATTCTAAATAAAATAATTTGAATTTGAAAAAAATAACGATAAACTACTTACGTAATTAATGGATGTCACTTAAAATATAATTTTACACATTTCAGACATACAACAAACAAGTTATAACAGAAACAAGCCACATGCCTCTATACGTGAGGTCGAAGAAGTCATTCAACTCACGGCAAATGGCCGCTTTGAGGCTATTGTATAGATGGCGAGACGCGCAAGCGAGAGAGTTGGATGAAAGCACGACGTGAGTGTGGGGTTTTTGTATATTAGTATTGAATAGATATATAGTCGATCCCTTGGAAAACAAAACAAATGTATCCCGCGGGAACCGTACGTTTTTAGGGTTCCATACTTCAAAAGGTAAAAAAGGAAACCCTTATAAGGTCACTCTCTTGTCCGTCTGTCTGTCCGTGTGTCAGCACTGATTTTCTCAGAAATTGGTGGACCTAGCAAGTTGAAGTTTATACCAGATACTGAGGTCTATAGTCCCTATTAGGTGTATAAAAATCAAGGTCCTGAATCAACGCGATAAAAAGATATGGACAATTTTAGATTTTCGCGAAAACTTGTAATTATCAAAAGTTACCTCAATTTACAACTTTTTTATTTTTTGGAATTTTCCGTTTACTTGTGCTATGAAACCTTGCTTTTAACCAAAATTGACAATTCCAGGTCAACCAGAAGTAGGTACCTATAGGTTTTGGGTCAAAAAAACCTATATGGTAGTTCGCGTTGACCTAGAATCATGAAATTCGGCAAAAATCAGGGTCTTACAGGATAAATAAAGGAAAAAATCCGAAAAATAAAAAAAATAAAAAAATTAAAGTTAAACAGATTTCCTATAAATTTGTACGGAACCCTCTGTGGGTGAGTTCGACTCGCACTTGTCCGTAATTTTATATTTTTCTATTTATTTATTTAAACACATATATCCAGGTACCTCCTGCCCAACCACATGGTGCTTGCGTTGGCTGAGACGCTACCTCGTGAAGTGCAAGGCGTGGCGGCCTGTTGCAGCCCTGCACCGCCATTTCTACGGCAACATCTAGTTGCCGTACACCGGATGCTGCTCTCCGTGAGTTTACACACACACACACACACACACCATCGATCAAAAAAGTACTAGATAGTAGATATACAATCAGCGACAAAAAATGTCCTCACCGAATGAGCGCTCATTTGAACATTTGAACTTTAGGCATTGCGTTTAAGGTTCAATTTACATCACTATATATTATAAAACAAAGTCCTTCGCCGCGTCTGCCTGTCTGTTTGTTCGCGATATACTCATAAACTACTGCACCGATTTTTATGCTGTTTTCACTAATGGATAGAGAGGTTCTTGAGGAAGGTTTTAGTATATGATTTGTTAAGTTTTTGTATACATTGGCTAAAATATAACGATATTTGTTAGATCTGTCAGGTAAAAATAAGCTGTCTGAGAGTTTTGAACGAAAACGCTGCCTAAATCCTTTGAGATACAACAAAATAATGTATGGTAGAATTGTGTATCTTATATAGGTGTGCAGAGAAGTCCGCGATGGCATATGTCTATCTCTTAAGGATAACATACTATATCCATTTTAATTTAAAACGCAACCTGTATAATCGTATATTTATTGTATTTGTATTTTTACTAGCGACTCAAGTATTATATATTTGTCAGACAATAACAACGGTTACCATGGCAACATGGCAATGTATTCTATCTCATTCTCTCGCCGGCATAATCCTATATATTTATGTGTTTGTCTCTTTTTAATGTCGCATTTCCGTTTCATCGAGTTTCAAATCACATCAATTTTAAAGCAGTTTCACTCGATAATTACTTTTATTGATATTTTCTCTTATGTGTTGTCCAGTGTCGTGAGCTGCCATTGGAGCCGCAGCTGTATCAAATGCCATCGAGCGTCGTCACTATGGCGCCACAACAACGCGTGCTCACTTACAACGTGCACGATCTGTCCCATTTCCCTGAATACAAGTATGTATTTATATATATAAACCTGATACAAACCATACAAACTGACTTGATTCACCGTACAAACTTTCGTTGCTCTTTTTACCCCCATTAAGAGATGATTTCCGGGATAAAAAGTATCCTTCCCAGGGTCTCGAAACTATCTTCTTATCAAATTTCATGTAAATCGGTTCAGTAGATTCAGAAATTAACAAACTTTACCTCTTTATAATAATAGTATAGTATATATTATTCAAATTTTGCTTTTTCAGAGACGATACCATAAATTTGGACCAAACATCGATGTTTCTAGAACAAACACCCACCCACCAACCAGATGTTGTCGCATTCAGGGCGGACGACGACACGGCCATTGTGAGGAACACTTTCTCATATCTAACCATATTTTGTACTCTTATTTGATTTGATTGTAAGGAAAATCTATATATAATCGACAATAAAATATATCCGTTTGTGTATTTTTCATTAAGGATTTTTTTGTGTGGACGGTATTTGGATGTGGTGTACGGCTTTGTACTTAATTTATGTTATTTTGTATGGAACGGTGATGGATGTTTGGGTTATAGAGTTTTTTTTTTGTTATAGAATAGGAATTTTCAGCTTGCTTTGTTTGGGAAATTCCCTGGATGTCTAAAAGTGGTTTATGTGTTAATCAACCTAATAGTCTGTTTTCATCCAAATTTGTCCAGCCGGTGAAGGAGAAACAAACACACATACAAATTTGTATAAATAATAGTGCTATTCTTTGTTGCATATTAGGATAGAGTTAGAAACAAATAAGAGTTTTCAATTATATACATAACTAGCAGGACCCGCGGCTTCGCTCGCGCTAAAACTACGAAAAATCTTTAAAAAAGTAGTTTCATACAAATTTATCCCCTATTTCACCCTCTTACAGGATGAATTTCGAAAAATGCTAAAACATATATTTATTTAATTTTATTGAAGAGCATTAATATCAAGTTTCAAGTAATTCTGATCATAAATATTTTTTGTGTTGTATTATTACGTGTTTTCCCGTGGGAATTAGATAATCCCCTGCGGTAAAAAATAGCCTATGTCTGTCACTCTTCAACCCTCCAACTATCTCCACACAAAAATCACGCCAATCCGTCACTCCGTTTCGACGTAAAAGGAGGACAGACAAACAAACAAACAAACACACTTTCACATAATTTTAGTATGGATTATATTTAAATACTAGCGAGTCATAATCGCTTCGCTCGAGTTTGTTCCTAGGTGATTCTTTAAATTGACATAGCTCTTTTATTTATGAATCGATTGAAATAAAACAAATACTAAATGTCAAATGAAGTTTACCACAATATATTAGTGAACCGCACCCAAATCGGTTTAGCCGTTTCTGAGATTGGCGCTCACAAACGCACAGACAAACAGACAAAATTTTTAAAAATCATCGTTTTGGGTTCTATTGTGTAAAGATCCCCAATAATAGTTTTTCTCAAATATCTCCCATGTACAGACTGTTTGGGCAACAAGGAAAACTTCAAATTTCTTCCAACAAATTAGTTTATTACGTTTACAATTATAGTATATAAGATAACGTGCGCGTGCGCCGGCTCGTATCGTCTCGTAAGGAAGGTTAAAAGTAATGACGGCTGCCGGGGGTCCACCCTGCCCCCCGCGGATCGATCTATCGCCCCACCAGAGCGTTAGACGCGTGAACAGTTACAATTTTATTATATGTATAGATAAATAGTTAAATAACATATTTTTATATATACATACATACTACATACAAATTTAATAGTTTAAAGTATATGTTTTTTTAATGATTGAACACAATCTGAAACTTCACGAGTAGCTTCGTTTAGACGAGATGCCCAAATTTTCTTACAACGAAAATTTGGTAGTGGTAGATAAAATAGAGAATGTGCGTATTGTTTTATACAATATCTTACATCGTTATATAGTTGTACAAAAAAATATCCAGCTCCAAAAAACTATAGTTTAATATAAAAAATTAAACGTTGCTTTATTTTAGCGAAAAAATCGCTAAATTGGCAACACTAGCTCTGTTATTATAGACTTTGACGTCATATTCGGTCTGACCAATGGCGTGCGTTTCAACTACTTTGAATTTCCCACCTATATTTGCACTTTTTAAAAATTATTTTCTCAATCAAAAAGAAATTACATAAAAAAAATTGAGTTTGTGAATAAAGTAAGTTAAAAATTTCCTCTTTCTTGTTAGAAATCGTATGAAAAAAAGCATGAAAAGCACGTTTGAACGTGTTCGTTAAGCAAACTAAAATGGGTCATAAATAACAAACTAGCTGTACCATCCCAGTACAATATAGCTTATAATATAGAGTTAATAGTAGGGGAGCCCAAGAGGGGATTTTTGTAGTTACTCAAGCGCGGCAGATTAACATAAAAGAGGTTACCTTGCACTCTATTGAGTACTTTCACCATAATATAAGTCTTCTATATAAAGGGGCGCGTCTAGGGAAGCCGATTAAAATATTTAAAAAATGTTATATGATGATAAGGTAGAAATAATACTAGCCTACCACACCTTAATCTGACGGTTTCAAGTATTTGTACCTTATCAAAACATTTTTTAAATATTTTAATCGGCTTCCCTAGACGCGCCCCTTTATATAGAAGACTTATATTGTGGTGAAAGTACTCAATAGAGTGCAAGGTAACCTCTTTTATGTTAATCTGCCGCGCTCGAGTAACTACAGAAAATCCCCTCTTGGGCTCCCCTACTATAAAGATAGAATATGATACAGAGTTTGAGAGTGCACGAGTTCAAATATTTATAAATCCGTAGTACATTATTTACTGAAAATACCCAGCTCCAAAAAACTAAAGTTTTAATATAAACTAAAATTACAGTATAGTTTTGACGACACTAACTGATCAGTGTCTTTGAATGCACTCGTAAATATCGTGGCGACGCCTCAAAAAGCTATCGCGCAAACTAAGGAAAACTAAAAATGTACGTGAAACCATAGATATTACAAAACCCAATAGAAAAAAACTAATAGACATGTCAATATTAGAATCGTCAGTTAAGGGAAAAAGAAATAGTTCAATTAAAATCTATACATATAATAAAATTGCAACTAAGCCGAATCTGTACATTATATATTTTTTTGGAAAATATTATTGAAATAAACATTATTATCGATACAGAGGCCAGAATTTTTGTCTGTCTGTCTGTTACCGCATCACAGAAAAACCACTGGAGGGATTTTGATGAAATTTAGTATGGTGGTAGCTGGTTATCCGGGTCAACATATAGGATACTGTTTACCGCGGGAAAATGTCTCATTTCTGAGAAATAATGCAAAAACTACAATGTAACAGTATACTAATATGTAAAATCTAAGAATTTAGTTTTTGGTTATCTAAACGCGGGCGGAGCCGCGGGCAATGCTAGTATAAAATAGATTTAGAAATGCCAGTTCTTTACCTATTTCTAGTAGGTAGGTTTTTTATATACATGCTAATATTCATACTTTATATTACAAATGCGAAAGCTACTCTGTTTGTTACCTTTACTTTACCTTGTTTTTGATTTATATGAAAATTCGTATGGAGATGGTTTGAGATCCTGGAAAGGACATAGGATAGTTTTTACCCCGGTTATCATCTCTTAAGTTTGTATAGTGAATCGATAATTTCTCAAGTAAGGGATATAAAATTAACCATATCTATCCGTATTAATATAATAAATGTGAAAGCTTATAAGTATGTATGTTTGTTACACAATCACGCCAGAACGGCTGAACCGATCTGGATGAAATTTGGCACAGAGATAGATTACAGTCTGGAATAACACAGGCTACTTTTTATCCATAAAAAAATGATGTACGATTCCCGTGGAATATGTTTGTTATATAGTCTATCTATTCCATATTAACAGTGACAACGCATCTAGGCACGAAACCTGAGTGAAGCGAGGGTGAGTCGCTAGTACATAAATAATTTTGGCTATTCGAATGTGTATTACCGTACGAAAATTTGTTTGTATGTTTGTTTGTCACTTTCACGCTGTAAAGGCTGGACGGATTTGGATGTAATTTAGTACACAGATAGGTTACAGTCTAGATAAAAATAAACCACTGTAAGCTACTACCCGTAATTAAATATGAACTTTAATCTAACGACATTATATTTTTAGAAAATGGATCCAATATATTATCTGGGGTTTGCTATTGTCCATTTTGCCTTCTATGCCACTTGAAGTATTAAAACACTACCTGCGAACAAAGGGGTGTAAATTTTTTCTATAGAAGCTGGTATTAGCCACTCCATCGTCTCAGTGCTTATTTGTCCAAACGAGCAATTTACTGACTGAATTATTGACTTTTAAATTTCAATTCTATTGGTATAAAATACATTTTTAACTTTAAAAAAGACGATGTATTTTATCTATATATATATATATATATATATATATATATGTATGTATGTATATATATGTATGTATGTATGTATATAAATCTAAGAAATAGGTTTGTTTTTTTTTAAATTTACTGTACAAGAAGTATTGGTAGTTTAAACTAATAAGCGCTGAGACGATGATTCGCCGCCATTTATTTTTATCAAACCAGTAATAGTGTGTATGGATAGAATACACTGAAACTATAAACAAATCAGTTACGTTATGCCTTAAAGTGTCAAGTATTTAGTTTAAATATAGATATGTTGGCACATTAACACACGGCACCTTTTAGTACTATGGCAAGCTACGAGTCTTGTGTTAAGGATGCCAGATAGTCGATACACTCCATATATATAACTTTAAATAAATACATATTATAAATATAAACACCCATGACTGCAGTACGAACATATGTGCTCATCACACAAATGTATGCCCTCAGCGGAACTCGAACCCGCGACCGCTGGCACAGCAAGTAGGGTCACTACAAACTGAGCCAAACGTGTCAATATCTATCTATCTTCTTCTGTATAAATAAAAATTAATAGGAAATATGCGTTTTTATACAATAACTTTAAAATCATTATATATTTTAAAAAATTATTCAGCTGCAAAAATATGAATATCAGATAGATACGGATATTTTAAACACCCGCCATTTTGGCGCGCTCGGCGTGACGTCATAGTATATGACAACAATGAATAACGAATGAACTGGTCTAGATTGTTAGTACCCATCGCAAGCGGAAAACGTTTGCCTATCGGGTCCGCTAATTACATAATATAAATAAAGCTTCGATAGTGGCTAGAATGTGCAGCTGCAAATTTGTAGCTCCTGGGTTCGAGTCCGGGATCCAGAAATTTTCAGTAACAACCCCGAAATTCGTGGTGTTTAACCCTCGTGCCTTAGAGAGGTTATAAAGTCGTTGGTCCAACAAATGGATGTAGTTATGCAAAATAGATCCAACCACAAAAACTTACTTTTCCAGAAAATATGAGTTTTAGTAAAATTGATATATAAAAATAACAAGACCGTAGTATTTTTTTGGAAAATCCTCTTAAATTTTGGGTGTTTATTTACTTTGTATATATAAGTTGATATGTGGGTGCCATTTATGACAGTAATTCGAAAAACAGTTTTCGTGGGCTGGATCCATTTCGCATAACTACGTCCAAATGATCTTTTACCGGTCGTGTTGAATTCTCGTCCCACTGTAGTTTGAGAGTAAGAATACAGAGGATACTGGTGTTTGGGTAACACATGGCTAGTCTCAATAAGATTTACTAAAATCGATCAGGACATTAATTATTTAGTAATAGCATGTTTGTAATGAAAAAAGGCAGTGGAAGCTTAGTGGTAACGCGCTCGCTTGGGAGACCGAGTGAAGCAGGTTCAAATCCCGGGTCTCACACCTCTGATATTTTCACGTGCGAATCATTTCAAACTTGATCACCACTTGCCTTACGGTGAAGGAAAACATCGTGAGGAAACCTGCATGTCTGAGAGAAACTAGCAAGTTTTCAAAAGACATGGTACTTGTCCAGCGTAGTGGACTATGGCGTGATCCCCCTCGTATTAAAGGAGGCCCACCCCCAGCAGTGGGATGTTAAAAAAAGGGTTGAATCCATGTTTAAAATAATTATTTGTTCTCAGGTATCGGATTTGAACGTCGATGCAAAGATGTTCATCCCTCCCTACGACAGGTACAGGAAGTACCGGACTTTAGCACAGGTAATATTATAGCTATATTAAAATTAGTTGGTACTAATGTCAAACTCATTTAATATTGCATGGATTTTCTTAAGACCCGTAGTAAATATATGTATGTAGAAATGTATTTATTTTTGTAGAATTATAATATTTAGTTGATATATTTTAATATTAATTTTATACCATTTAATGCTGTACTGTAGTTGTAACCTACACCGCATTGAATTAACTTATTTTTTTCACTTCTGAAGGGTTTCTGAAAGAGATCTCTTAAAGATATAAGTTATCTTTTATCGACATTCTGTTACTTTAGTTTGTACTAGCTACTCACCCTCGCTTCGCTCAGGTTCATCCCTTAGCTTACTTCCCCATACAAATTTTCATCCCCATTTTCCCCCTTAAGGGACGATTTCTGGGATAAAAGATATCTTATGTCCTTCCCAGGGTCTCGAACTATCTTCTTACCAAATTTCATCTAAATTGGTTTAGTAGATCCTGAGATTACCCCCTACGACGTCACAAACTCACAAACTTTGTATTCAGTCCTTTTTAACGTCCCACTGCTGGGCACGGGCCTTCCTTCAATACGAGGGGATCAGGCCATAGACCACCACGCTGGCTAAGTGTGGGTTGGCGGACTTCACATGTCTTTCGAAAACTTGCTAGGTTCTCTCAGACATGCAGGTTTCCTCACGATGTTTTCCTTCACCGTAAGGCAAGTGGTGATCATGTTAGAAATGATTCGCACATGAAAATATCAGAGGTGCGAGACCCGGGATTTGAACCCGCATCACTCGGTTTTCCAAGCGAGCGCGTTACCACTGGGCTACCACTGCCTTCACAAACTTTACATTTATCTTTATAATATTAGTATAGATAACACATATTTTATGGTATATAATAAACTAGCATTCCCCGCGACTCCGCCCGCGTTCAGATGACCGAAAACCAAATTCTTAGGTTTTACATATTAGTATACTCTTACATTGCAATTTTTGTATTTTTTCTCAAAAATGAGATATTTTCCCGCGATAAAAAGTATTCTATATGTTGATCCGGATAACCAGCTATCACTATACCAAATTTCATCAAAATCACTCCGGTGGTTTTTCCGTGATGCGGTAACAAACAGACAGACAGACGAACAAAAATTCTAAAAACTATAGATTCGTCCTTTGTATCGATAATAATGTTTATTTTAATTAGATTTTCCAAAAAATATTTAACGTACAGATTCGGCTTAGTTACAAATTAATTATATGTATAGATTTGCTAACTCTACCCATTTCTGTTTATAGGTGGAAGAAATAAAAGAGTATAAGGACAAAGAAGCGAAAATAGCTGCCATTTCAAAAGGAAACGAACTGATCAAAACGGAAGTACTCCTCAAATTGCAAGAGGCAAAAATTCAAAAAGAGAAAGAGGGTGAGATAAAAGATAAAACAAACACACCACAAAAAGAAGAAAAACCCATAGAAAAGAATCCAGAGCCTGAAATAAAACAAACTGCCCAAAGAAAAAGGAAGATTTCTAATGAGAAATGCAAGAAGGGCGATGTCGCCTCGAAGAATAAGAACAAAGTGAAAAATAAAATAGAACAAATCAATCTAAAGCCGTACAACTATAAGAATGTTAATTACAGAAAGTTTCGTGACGACTCTGAGAAAGCGCACAAACAAACCAAGATGAAGTTTAAAAAACATAAATAATTGATGTAAGCGAAATATAAACGTGTATAACCTATATCGGTTTTTATTTATAACTAGCGTTCTTCCCTACGTATATTTAGTATAGATTTCTCGACTCCTAAAAAACCCCATCATATTCCGTTGCGTAGTTTTAAAGATGTAAGCATACATAGGGACAGACAGACAGACAGCGGGAAGCGACTTTGTTTTATACTATGTAATGAAATGTATTTGACGTTTTCACTAAGGGAACGTACCCATATCACGTGACCCATTCAAGGGGAGGTTGGGGGTAGTGTAGGGGGTATCTTCAAAATACCACGTTTGGTCACAAGAGCGAGGGGAAAAATTTCAAGTCCATATACTCACCCTGTTGAAAAACTCCAATAGAATCCCATCAAAAGCGACAAATTATAATAAATGTTTATTATAATAAATAAATAAATATATAAATGTTTATTGGTTTCTATGTGGCTTTTGTCGCTTTTGATGGGATCCTATTGGAGTTTTTAAATAGGGCATAAGCGTGCAGGTTTCTCTGAATAGCTCTTTAAAACAAGCTGTACTAAATACTAGGGTGTATATATTTTGTCTGTGTTGGTTAACAAAGTAGTTTTTTTAATTATAAAAATTGTGGATTTGCGTATTTTAAACATTTTCAACCGCTACCTATATACAGTTACTAGCGGACCCGACAGACGTTGTCCTGTCTACACGTCTTTAATTTAAAAATTTCAAACTTTTTTTCATAATTTTTTCGATGAAAATTATTATTCAAATTGTGAATCTAAACCATTCCCAGATCCCCTTGAACACACACAAAAAAATTTCATCAAAATCGGTCCAGTCGTTTGAGAGAAGTTCAGTGACATACACACTCACAGAAGAATTATATATATAAAGATATAGGTAATCACGGAATGATCTACAAATTACTGGTTAAAGTTATATGTGTAGATAAATGTGAAGCTACTTACATTTTCTTTTATTTATAATTGTGATTATGCTACTATAATTCAAGTGTATGAACATGATGGAACATTTTATTTTATTTTTTTAATTGTTTTATGAACATTTCTAATACGGAAATGCATGTTGGGATGCGTTCCCGAAATGACGAATGAAATCATTTCGCAAAAAAATAATGAAGGGCTTAGATAAAACTAACTAAATCTAATATTTAAATAAGTATAATTGTGAACCAATTATTTCAAGGCTTTATTAGGAAAAAATGGCATCAGAACCATATTGGCCACCTTGATGATTTTGTCCCTTTTAAGATTGTACTTCATACGGGACTTAGGCAGGAGCTCCCCGTCTCCCCGCCCGAAGACGCTGTCAAGGCCAGTAAGACCAACGGCACTAGACACTCAGAAAAAATTAAAACGTCATTCATATTATGATGTAAATCTACGTATACCTACAGATAGGTAATGATATATGAAAGGCTCATTCTCTCAAGCGTTCGCTTGTTTTAACCTTAAAGGTGCTAAGGCTAATATAGCTAATGTGATTCCACTTTAGTAAATTTACAAAATTTTATATGTATGTATACAGTATGTTTATCCATATATTTCTCCTAAACTAGTAATCGGATTGTGACCGTTCTTTTTTTACTTACTTACATTTAATTCAACTTAGGAAACAGTGAAGATTTCATTAAAATCGGTTCAGTAGTTCTTATAATACCTCGTCTGTCGATCGACCTTTTAAAGGTCGATGTCAAAAACAACCCTGTCTGTCAAGCGACCTTTTAAAGGTCGATTGGTCTCGATGTCATTTAATGTGTGATTTCTCGCATCTAAACTATATTTATTTTTATCTAACTTTTGTAACGTGTAAAGAAAAATACAAGCAATAATATCATACTACATGTCAAAAAAGTAATAACTCCAATAACATAAATTATTGTAATTTGTGCAGACAATTTATTTAAATTTTGGCGATCTTTGAACTCAATACTTGTGAGTAAATAATTAACAAAATAGTGTAAAATTATTAGTATAAGGATTGGAATATGATGGAAGGGTAAGTAATTAACAGTTTTTATTTCATAGGATGTGTATTGAATAGAGATTTTATACAGAAATTGTTATATTTGTCAAACATCGTAAGCATTCACGCGCGCTTAGTCCTTATATTTTCACTTTTTCTGAATAAAAAATACACTAGTGATAGCATAATATTTTTATTAACATGATTTAAATTTATAACCAAATAACTACGTATAATTGAATTTGTAAATTTTCTATTAGATTTTAAGTAATTAATAATTTAACACGTAACCCAAATTCGAGCCGCCATTTTTGACGGCTGTTGGATAGTATGGGGAAGGCTTTTTTAATATTCATTAGAATATTTTCATTGTTGTTTTTTAGGATTATTTGAAATTTAATATTTTATAAATATTTTAACTCTTTTTCTAAAAAAAAAATTGAATTTTTTAAAACAGTACGATTTTTATTTTACAGATATAAGTTCAACTTACACATTACTTTAAAACATTATAAAAATAAAAAAAACCTAACTGCATAACAGCTAACTAAAAAGATAAAAACAAGTTGACGAAGGAATGAAGTATTATGCAGTTGGTGACATACACATGTAGATCTCGCGACAAGGATGAAATGTATTTTTTTATTTACAGCTTTTTAATTTTATTAGAAATTTGAAGTTATAATAGGTCTTTTGAAATTGCCGTTCTACAATACTTACTGGCCATTGGAAACGTAATTTATGATTGGCCGGCAATAAATTCTAAATTCAAATAAATTTTATTTTAAAAGTATGGAGTTCTATTTTTGAATTCAGTCGTTTGTTTATTAATTAGTGTTTTGTTTTCACTACATTTGTTTGTTCTTCGTCAATATTACAAAATATACAATAAAAATACGAGTAATTATGAAATACGAGTTCCATCGCGGTAGCAATCCCGCACAAACGGCTCGCAACATTAATGACGCGTACGGAGTGCCGAGTGAACACTACAAACGAACGCACAACTCGTTATTGGTCTGAACACTTCCAACATCGAACTTTTGATCTTAAAAAATTAACCCCGTGGTCGCCCGTAAACTAAAATCAGTAACGACGCATAAAAGGCGATAGTGGAAGCTGACGATACTCAATCTGTGGCTGAGATAGCAGCAGCTTTCAACGTTAGCATCAAAACAATATTGGTCCATTTGCATCAAATTGCATCAATAGCATGGGTGCATATTTTGATTAATAGAAATGAAAAATATTTATAAAAATACAATACTTTAACTTTCTGTATATTAAACGACAATTTCATAGGTAAAGACTTAATATTTAGCAATTTCTTATCCCAAATTACCTTTAAACATGTAAGTTGTGTTCTCTTAATTTTTTTTGTGATCAGCAAAAATCTTTATTTTAAGAGCCCATTCGATTGATTTGGAAATTTTTTTTACAGACAAATTGGCGCCTGATATCCGCCATTTTACTTTTTAACTATTTTTAATTTTTAACTATAACGCGAGTATTATAGGCTATATATAGCTTATGACACTCGCGTAAATACGAAACTAACGACATATGAATCATAGAAATCGGCCCACGCGTTTGGTCTCTAGAGTGTCATACATACATATGTACATACATACATACATAGACTGATAAACACATTACCCTCCTTTGCGTCGCGCAGTCGGGTAAAAAATAAGTTTATTTGAATCTCTTAAACTAGTATCATGTTGCATTTTATGTTTATTGAAGCTGCACCAAAATTGCTTAAAACATGCCTTATTAGATTACAATATTATGATCGGAGGGTGAACAAGAAAGTCCAATTGTAGGCAATGTACCCCATAGAGCGAAAGCGAACAAGGGTGTTGTATAAATAACTGTTTATTAAAAAAAAAACCGACTTCCAGGCACTAAAATGTAAAAAATAGCTAAACGGAGGTTTTCATTTAGAATAGATACCTAATCAGATATTTTCGAAGTCGGTGCCAGCCGACAATATTTTAAGATATAAATATCTAATACGTAAATATGAATTTTATGTATCGTAATATATTAGATTTACTTTGCATCAGCTGGAGCTGACTTCGAAAATATCTGATTTATATATTATACCACGCCTTAGTTCGTTTCGACGACGTGACTGAACATCGAAGACGTGGTGAACATTATATGGGAGGAGGTTAGTATAGTTACTTATGTATCTTTACTTAGTAATAATTAGTATTTGTTGCTTTTAGGATAGGTGTTCATCTTTTTTTTTCATTTAAAATAAATATGTATAAGAGCCTCTACCTGCAAGCAATATTCATTAAAAAGTGTCCTTTACCTAACAAAAGGCATCCAAAATTTTCTACTTCAGATTTAAAACATCTCTGAGTACTAATTACAAAGTTTTTATACTCTACTATATTTTTTTTACTAATATAACTATGGAATCCATCAAATACTCAATACAGTAACTGGCACAATACTTCAATCTTATAAAATATAAATGAAAAATTTAAAAGTAACCCCGACATGTAATTCACCATTTTGTGGTGGCGACCATCTTGGATTCGAAAATTATACTAGTCAAGCCTAATTCATTTGATACCCATATTGAGGGAGTTGTGAAAAAATATGTAATTCGCTATTTTGTGGCGGCGGCCATCTTGGACCGATTTTCATCAAACATAGCTAAGAACACTTCCGAATTATTCACCTTTCAGAGAAAAAACAAAAAATAAATCGGATGATCTCTTCGGGAGCTACCATACCACAGACAGACACACACACAACACACAGCACGTCAAACAAATAACTCCCCGTAGTTTTTGCGTCGGAGGTTAAAAACAGTAGAAAAAAAAAATCCTCTCCGAATTAATATTTAAAGTTGTTTTATTTTGAATTGATGTTTTATTATCATTTTATTTCCATAACATAATCTGTTCAGATGTGATGGAATTGGTCGTATCCATACTTTTTTAGCTGTCCCTTGTAATTCTTATAGTAAAATTGTTAGTTTACAGAATTGATTTCTGAAATATTCT